ATGACAGCCATTCTGATGAATGTGAGGTGATATCTTACTGTGGTTTTGATTTGCAGGAAAAGGAGGAAGAAACAGGAAACAGTATTTTAAAAAATTTATCTCTTAATTAGGGGAAAATGGCTTTATGCTGTTGTGCTGGTTTCTGTCACACATCAGCATGAATCAACCATGGTATACGTATATCCCTTCCCTCCTGAGTCTCCCTCTCACCCCTGACCCCGGCCCCCTCCTCCAGGTTGTCACCGAGCGCCAGGCTGAGCTCCCTGAATCATACAGCAAATTCCCACCGGGTATCTACTTTACACATGGTAATGTATGTGTTTCAGTGCTATGCTCTCAATTCATCCGGCCCTCTCCTTCCCCGACTGTGACCACAAGTCTGTTCTCTGTGTTTGTGTCTCCACTGCTGCCCTACAAATAGGTTCATTAGTACCATTTTTCTAGATTCCATATATATGCATTAATATATGATATTTGAGGAAACAGCATTCTTAAATACAAAGGTCCTTCCTAGCTCAGCCCCAGGTTCCAGAGTCCCAGGCATCCTCATCATGGAGCAGTGACAGTCTTGCTAAAGTGACGGATTCCAGCCCTGCTTTAGGGGCCAGTGTAACACCAGGACATGGACTAGACCCACAAGGACTGATCTGTACCAGAGCCCAGTCCTCTTGACTCCTAGCTGAACCATCTCTATACAAGATGGCAAAGAGATAAATAGTTTTAGGGCACTATGTAAGTCCAGGCTTTGAAGGTTTTGATTGGCTTTCTGCATGATACAATTGAAAGTGTTAAATATTTCATCAGTTTGAGGTGGGCACCAGCATTAATCCTTTAGTGGTTGAATTGTGGGGAGGGCAAACAGGGTGGAAGGATGTAACCTGGGGCTTGGAGCAGTGGCTGTTTCCCCATCAATGTGGTAGCGTTTCTATCAGTATTTTCATCATGGTGAACTGGCTCTAATTCTCTGGGCTTCAACCATAGATGTTGAAAAGAAACTCTGACCTTGAACACCTGACCCTTCAAAGACATAAGTGCAGATCTGAGTGATTACTCTCTGGCTGTTTGAAACTTGAAACAAACAAAACAACTTGAGATTTTGCCCAGAAATGTATTTGCGTTTCCTTTTATTTCAGACTTTCAGGTCTCTTGAGATACAGGAAAGCTTTGTTCTTCTCCTCTCCCCAAACACTAGACTGTCCTGCTATCAAGGAGGTTTCACTTTCCATCCTTGAGAGTAAGATCCTGTGGTTGCCACTGCAGAGTATGAGATGGCTGAATTTTATGGGTGGGAACCTTATTATTTTTTTGGGCTCCAAGATCACTGCAGATGGTGACTGCAGCCATGAAATTAAAAGACGCTTACTCCTTGGAAGGAAATTTATAACCAACCTAGCCAGCATATTAAAAAGCAGAGACATTACTTTGCCAACAAAGGTCCGTCTAGTCAAGGCTATGGTTTTTCCAGTGGTCATGTATGGATGTGAGAATTGGACTGTGAAGAAAGCTGAGCGCCGAAAAATTGATGCTTTTGAACTGTGGTGTTGGAGAAGACTCTTGAGCATCCCTTGGACTGCAAGGAGATCCAACCAGTCCATCCTAAAGGAGATCAGTCCTGGGTGTTCATTGGAAGGACTGATGCTGAAGCTGAAACTCTAGTACTTTGGCCACCTCATGCGAAGAGTTGACTCATTGGAAAAGACCCTGATGCTGGGAGGGATTGGGGGCAGGAGGAGAAGGGGATGACAGAGAATGAGATGGCTGGATGGCATCACCGACTCGATGGACATGAGTTTGAGTAAACTCTGGGAGTTGGTGATGGACAGGGAGGCCTGGCGTGCTGATTCATGGGGTCGCAAAGAGTCGGATATGACTGAGTGACTGAACTGAACTGACCTTAGAAATGTGTGGCTTCCTTGGTGGCTTAGTGGTAAAGAATCTGCCTGCAATGCAGGAGACTCCGGTTTGATCCCTGGGTTGGGAAGATGCCCTGGAGAAGGAAAAGGCAACCCACTCCAGTATTCTTGCCTGGGAAATCCCATGGACAGAGGAACCTGATGGGCTACAGTCCAGGGGGTCGCAAAGAGTTGGACATGACTTAATGACTAAACAACAACTTTATTATTTTTCAAAAACTAATTTATTTTAATTGGAGGCTAATTACTTTACAATATTGTAGTGGTTTTACCATACACTGACATGAATCAGCCATTCTGAACCCCCTCCCACCTCCCTCCCCATCCCATCTCTCAGGGTCATCCCAGTGCACCAGCCCTGAGCATCCTGTCTTATGCATCGAACCTGGACTGGCGATCTATTTCACATATGATAATATACATGTTTCAATGCTATTCTCTCAAATCATCCCACCCTTACCTTCTCCCACAGAGTCCAGAAGTCTGTTCTTTACATCTGTGTCTCTCTTGCTGTCTTGCATATAGGGTCATCGTTACCATCTTTCTAAATTCCATATATACGTATTAATATACTGTATTGGTGTTTTTCTTTCTGACTTACTTCATTCTGTATAATAGGCTCCAGTTTCATCCACCTCATTAGAACTGATTCAAATGCATTCTTTTTAATAGCTGAGTAATATTCCATTGTGTATATGTACCACAGCTTTCTTATCCATTCGTCTGCTGATGGGCATCTAGGTTGCTTCCATGTCCTGGCTATTATAAACAGTGCTGCGATGAACATTGGGGTGCACGTGTCTCTTTCAGATCTGGTTTCCTGGTGTGTATGCCCAGCAGTGGGATTGCTGGGTCATATGGCAGCTCTATTTCCAGTTTTTTAATGAATCTCCACACTGTTCTCCATAGTGGCTGTACTAGTTTGCATTCCCACCAACAGTGTAAGAGTGTTGCCTTTTCTCTGCACCCTCTCCAGCATTTATTGTTTAAACAAAAAACTTTAGGAATGAGCATTCATATGATGATTATAAACAGCCTTATCTCTTGATGAAAATATCTAATGCTCTTTATTTTGAATAATTATAAGGACATGTTTAGAATTTTGTAGGATTTGGATGAAGAGTCTCTATAATTACCTCCAAATTTCAGAGGGATTCTCTTTTTTTTCCTTCAAGAGTTTTCAGGCCTATGAAATTGAGAGCTGACAGGAATCTAGGAGTAGGTTTGGACATAGATGTGGATTAAAGTTGGAAAATGGAATCGATGCTCGTGGATAGATGATCAGCAGAAAGAGAAGCCAAAGGTCAGAGTCAGAAGGACCACACACAGATGCCTCTGTGTGATAAGCCCCACTCTGGTGCTGCCCTCTTCTCCCCTAATTGCCTACTTCCCCCCGTTCCCCCCAAAGCAGCATCTTCCTGGTGCTGGTCCTGATACAGTAGAGCGGCTAACACTCTCCCAAGTGTGGGTGGGAACCTTGGTGATTGTGTCTTTACTTTTCTCCGCCCTTGGTCCTCAGTGGGGTGAACTCAGCCTTAGGTTCTTGTCAGGCCCTGGTAAGACATTACTTGAAACACTGTTTTTGTTTCCTTGGCTGCTTAGTCATCCACGCCCCTGGTGGCTTGTCTGCCAGACTCTGCAGAGACCAAGTGAAGTAGCCACGGGATCAGGCCATGGGAGGCTTTCTGCCCCACGTGTACTGTGTTTCTGTGGGCACGGAGGTCAGAGATGGCCATCTGGAAACACCATGCGTGACTTCTAGGGAGCCTATTCACCCTCCCCACCCCTGTGCAGTTTTCTGCTCCTGTCCTTCCAGGAGAGACGGATGGTTTATTCTGAGTTACTGGTGGGGAGCTGTGATGAGGGGAACATGAGGGTTTGCCCGGCAGGCAGTTGACCCAGCAGAGTCTAGCCTCTGCTTTACACACACCAGCAGTTCTGGCCTCTGTTCTCAATCCCCTATGGAAAAAAAATTGCTTTCACCAGGAGGGGTTGGGGACCCCTGGCCGGAAATTTTTTTTTTTTTAATTTTATTGATGTATAGTTGATATACAACTTTGTGTTCTTTCTGCTGTAAAGCAAAGTGATTCACTTATACATATTTTTCATATTATCTTCCTTTATGGTTTATCACAGGATAGTGAATATAGCTTCCTGTGCCTGGCAGGAATCTTACACTTAATGACTGGGTGACAGGGCTCCAAGCTTTTACACTTTTCCTTTCCTCATCCTGTGGCCCAGGACCTCGTTCCTACAATGGGGTGAAAGAAGTAGCAAGGTGGGTGGAAAAAGAAGGGGCTTCAGGAGGGATAAATCTGACCCGGCAGTGGGAACCCTCTCTCTGTGGGGGAATCCCTATTCCTGACTAGAACTTCACAGTCCTGGAAACTACTTTTCTGTTCCCAATGTGTCATGTCAGCTCTTAGGTCTGGCTTCTCTGATTTTTAATTGTTTGAGGTCTTCCTTATCTTGTCCTATCTCACCACTCTAATTTTTCAGGTCTTGGAAAAGTCATTTCTCTAGGAAGCTGTACTTTATTCTTCCCACCCCATTCCTTGCTCCCAAGACTCTGTTATATTCTCCCTCATCACTCTGTTCTTCCCTAGAAGATCATTCACCACGTTTCTGTAAAAACATATTCTCCCTGACATGAGAGGAAAAGTATAGATTTGTCTTGTCCACAGATTTATCTTCAGTGCCTTGAACTTGGCAAGCCCTTCAGATATTTAAATGAAAGTGGACTTGGATTTTCTTAAAAATTTTAAGTAATATATTTGGAACTAATTTCTTTTGGTCAGGGGACAAAAGGGAATTTGGTTTTGGAACTACTGAAATTGAAGCATCTGTGTCCAGTACCTAGCTGAATACATAGGTCTGAAACTCAAGTGAAAGGTCATCTTTGGGGAGGAACAGATTTGGAAATCACTACCAAGTCCTGGAAGGTGACCTCCCATACCCCAAATGTTGCTACCTGAACAGCTGGGAGCTGGTGTGATTAGAAGAAAAGATGTATAGGAGATGGAGTACAGATTTCTCACCCCAGTTAGACTCTTTCTCGAGGATTTACCCATTTGCTTTTCATCACAGAAATGGCCTCCACCTTCCACCCCCGAGAATGTAAGCTAACCAAACAGGAAGGGAAAAGCTATGGCTTCTTTCTGCGAATTGAGAAGGACACTGACGGCCACCTGGTCCGGGTGATTGAGAAGGGTAGCCCAGCAGAGAAGGCGGGTCTCCAGGATGGAGACAGAGTTCTTAGGATCAATGGTGTCTTCGTGGACAAGGAAGAGCATATGCAGGTAAGTGGACATTTGGAGTTCTTGGAAGATCTCTTTAGCCCCTATATCTCTGATGATTTTAGTTCTGGGTGTTAGTGGAGCTTTTTCCTGGCTGCCACTGGTAGGGCAGGACACCTTTACAGCTCTACTCTGCCAGCTAATCAACTCTCCTATGATTAACCAAGAACTGTAAAAGTTATTCCTAGGTTTGAATAGTGTCAGGTCTAATGTGCATTGCATATTTGCTATGTGAACGGGACTATACTAAGCAATTTCACATTCATTATTTTGTTAAATCCTTGGCACAACCCGTGAGGTACCATTTGACAGTTGAGGAAGTGGAAGCTGATACTTTAGCTTGCTAATGTGTTCCACACAGTGAACATATGGGAGTGTCTGACCTCACCCCAATTCTATCTGCCTCTAAGTGGGTGCTCTTTCACTGTACTATGCTGTCTCTGTAGACTCAGGACATGCTGTGCTTCGGGACAGCATTCATCCCGGGAGAAGACCAGTCCTAGTAGAAGTTCCCTGGGCTGGGCTTGGGCTGCACTCTATAGAGTCCAGTGGTGTTAAAGGCCCAGCCTAATCTGTCCCTGGATCTTGGTGGGGCCCAGGTGGAGATGGCTGGGGGACAATCTACTGACTATCGGATGTCAGGGGTCAGTTGATAGAATCTCCAGAGTCAGATGGTGAGCACTGCTTTCTCACCCACAACCCTGGTGATTGATAGACGGTTATTGGTTAAAGTTAATCTTTTTCTTTCTTCCTCTTAGGTTGTGGATCTGGTCAGAAAGAGTGGGAATTCAGTGACTTTACTAGTTCTGGATGGGGATTCCTATGAGAAAGCCATGAAAAAGCAAGTAGACTTGAAAGCGTTGGGTCAAAGTCAGGAGTCAAGTTTGAACGATAAGAAGCCGCCCTCTGTGATGAACGGAGGAGCACAGATGTGGACGCAGCCACGGCTCTGCTACCTAGTGAAGGAGGGGGGTAGCTATGGCTTCTCTCTGAAAACTGTCCAAGGTGAGCTTGAAGGTGGGGCAGGGACAAACAGCTTTCTGGAAGAGAGAGATTGCTATCTGTTAATGACTTCGTTGACTAACTCGTCAATTGCTATGGAGATTCAACAGCAGCCTCTCTCTCCCTGGCCCTTCCTTTGTACAGTTGTGCAAAGAGGGATCAGGATGTTGGACAACAGCGCTGTGGAGGGACACTGGGCACTCTGTGTTTGTTAAGCTGAGCCCTCCGGGCCAGAGGGTTAGAGGGTTGATGCTTCTTTGGGGGTAAAGATGGAGGAGAGAATGGAGAATAAGAGGCAAGAAAAAGGAGGTTCTCCATGAACTACTTTTGAATTAGAATGATATCTCTTTTCATCTCTGAGTGTCCAGGTGGTCACTTATTCAAAAAATCCTTGCACACCTATTTATGTATCAGCTGCTGTTATAGTTGCCACAGGCACGGCCAAGATCCCCACCCTCCTGTGGCATCAAGATAGTACCCTCAGCTATGGCTATGCTCTGAGATGTCTTCCTGACCTCTAGCTGAGAGGTACAGTGATTTGAGAAACCCCAACCATCAGAAAGTACTAGAAGTTCTGTTCCTAGAATTTCAGAGTTGCAGGCTGACCCATGAACAGTTGACCATGGTTTTCTAATGGTTTCACTGGGATTGAGGTTGGAACCATAGCTGAATTAGGGTTTTGGTTCCACCTCTAACGTTGCTCCTTCCCTGTTCTTTCTGCACTAGAGAGGCACTGGTGGTGGGTCATAATTTGGTTAAGTGATAAAGAGCTTCCTAGGTGGCTCTATTGGTAAAGAACCTGCCTGCCAGTGCAGGAGATGTAAGAGATGCATGTTTGATCCCTGGGTTGGGAAGATCCCCTGGAGAAGGAAATGGCAACCCACTCCAGTATTCTTGCCTAGAGAATTCCATGGACAGAGGAGCCTGGAAGGCTATATACAGCCCATGGGGTTGCAAAGAGTCGGACATGACTGAGCAACTAAGGCTTGGCTTGGAAAGAGTGGACCAATATTAAACATGGTTTCTAAGGCTTATTTAACCTGTTAGCAAGAGAAATAAACTAGCTATAAGAGATATCTCTTGAGTTTGTCAGTTGTTAAAACACAGTGATATAGGTGGTCAAGGGAAGCTTGGCATTTCTCAGAGGTTTATCAGTAATATGGTAAAAAAAAAAAAAAGAAAAAAAGAAATTGCAGTTCAGACTCTATTCGTTTGGCCTCTGTGTAATGTCCGTGGTGAAAAGTTTAAATTAGCTTTATGAAGAAAATGTTTTCTTCATGACAAACATATAAAAAGGTAACAGGAGAAATGCCAAGAATTTAAGGAAGCAGAGTTTAAACTATTATTATTCTTTACAAATGGTTTATGTAGTCATAATGAAGGTACCCTTTGCCTAGGCTGAAATATTAATATCTTGAAAGAACTGACAGCATTTCTCTAAGAAAGACCTAAATCACAATACCTGCTAATGCAGACTGACCGTGTGTGTGTATGCTTTCCTCTCTTCCTGTGCCTGTTTTCTTTAGCCTGCATCAGTGAGATTCATTCAGTCCACTGGGATGTGGTAGTTGGACAGAACAGAGCAGATGCCATCTAATTCTACAAATGCAAAGGAGAGGGAGTATGACCCAGTGATGCAGAGTGGGCATGATTTGCTACTTTCTGGTTCAAGAGGCCAGTGCCACTTGAGATTCTTTCTGTGTACTTAGTTGGGCTCAGAAATCCTATTCAAATCAATGAAAACCAACTGAGTAATGGCTGTGTCAAGTTTGTGCTATGAGTTCTAATTGTCCTTCTGTATCAAAGTCTATTTGAGTTAGCCCTAAAATGCGAAGTTCTAGTTTTATATTATTGGGAGAAAACCCTTTGCTGTTAGACTTTCAGTGTAATGGAGTTGTGACACTTGATTACCCCCTACTCTCCTTCAGGTAAAAATGGAGTGTACATGACTGATATAAAACCTCAAGGTGTGGCTATGAAAGCTGGAGTCCTGGTTGATGACCACTTGATTGAAGTGAATGGAGAGAATGTAGAGGATGCCAGCCATGAGGAGGTAGTTGAAAAGGTATATCCCAAAGGAGTACTTTTCTCACCCTTAACTTTCACTCTGCTCTCATCGGAAGCGACAGGAAGACAGGAATGGTAGTTTATGATGGGAAGACTATGATAATGGGAAGCTAAACCTTTGTATTAATAGCAAACAGACTAGTGGTGTAAGCAGTGTTAACATAGGGTTTTGGAATGAGGCCTTTGCTAGTTTCATGTTGTCTTGAAAAGTGTTCTAAAGAACCATTATCTTCTGGATCTTATGTGTAATTGACTGGAATCACTCTCTAAACTTGTAATAAATTCGATGTTGAACCAATGTTAATAAAGTGTTTTAATACAAGCTGGAAGATGACCAGTGTGGGTGATGAATCTCGAGTTACACATGGGGAGTATTTGATGTGTTATACCCCAAATCTTACGCCCCAGCATGATTCCATGATGCATGAAAAACACTCAAGAGGTTTTCCTTTGGGGTCATATGGAACCTTGAAAATTGACCAACTTTATCTTTTCTTGGTAGAATGATATTTCAAAGTAGACCTTTACTTTCTTTTCCAAATTCCTTTCCTAGTCTTCACCTAAGTACCTTTCTGGGTTTTCTGAATTCCAGCTTTCACTTGGGTTCAGTTAGCATCTGTGTGGGTGACATCATACTTAACAAAGGGAGAAACAACTGTATAAGGGAAGATAAATAAATACCAGTGAAGTAGTACAAAACAGTATTACAGCTTAAGCTCAGGACTTACATCCCATATGTCCTGTTTAATCTGTAGACTGTGCCTCCACACAGAAACTCTATTTCCCAGCATCTTTCTTGGAGACTGATGGTGGTCCTCACCTGTGAGTGTTGTTGCAGGTGAAGAAGTCTGGAAGCCGCATCATGTTCCTGCTTGTGGACAAGGAAACGGACAAGCACCATAGCGAGCAGAAGATAAAAGTCAAGAGAGAAACTGCCAGTCTGAAACTGCTACCCTGCCAGCCCCGTGTAGTAGAAATGAAGAAGGGAAGCAATGGCTATGGTTTCTACCTGAGGGAAAGCCCAGAACAGAAAGGTAAGGCACTTGAAGAGCAGAAAACCTGGCAGTGTAACCATCCAATTCTTCATCCCAGTGTGACTCCAGAGTTCCATTAGGCCCCCACAGCCCCCCCATCAGGGTATCCTTAGGTTTTCATAGCAGAATAATAAGGCAGAATTTTGGATCTGAGCAGTAGCATGCTAGTAAACTGGCTCTCTGGGAAAAAAAAAAAAAGCCCTAATCTGTAGCATGTGTTGTTTCGTTGTGGTGTAAATACTCCCACCATGTCTGATTTCAAGCTACAACATGCTGTCATAGAATGCAAAGTTGAGAAGTATTCTCATGAGCTGATTTGAGACAGCGCCAACACACCACTAGATCTGAGGCAGAGGTGTGGGTGGGGATCTGGGACATGAACAGAACCAGGAGTCTTTCTGATTCCCTGTAATTCAGTAAGAATTAAGGTCCTCCTACACAAGCTGAATACATTAGGAAAAAAAAATGTAGGTTCAGGCCATGAAAACTGTTATTCACCCAGAAGTTGCCATTTTCTTTCCATCATATATATTTACATTAATTTATGAAACATTAGTTTGGCTCATATGGTATAAAAACATCCTCAGGATCTTTGAGAATATCAAATGAATGCGATGAGAATTCTTCAGTCCAGAAGACCCCTATTTACTAGAGGAGATAAGACACATATGTCCATAACTGAAGGTAGATGGTGAGAAACATCTTAAAAGAGGGCAGTTAAGATACTATGGAAATTCAATGTTGGAGCAAGTTTTTCTCACTAAAAAGGTATTGGGAGGCCTCATAGTAAAGGTAGCACTTGAGCTCTGGCTTTGTAGTATGAATAGAATTTGGGCAAGCTGATGGGATAGGGACAAGTAAGTCCAATCCATGAAGATAGGATTGTGTGAATAAAGCAGGAAGACACAGGCTCAGTTTGATGGCCATTTAAAGTATAGCACAGAAAATCAAGTTAGAAAGGTCAGTTGAAGAGACATATGATGGACTATGAGTGCATGTTGAGGAGTTTAGACTTATTTCCAGAGTTAGTGGGGAGTTATTTTTTGAACAGTGTGAAAGAGAAGAAAAATTAAGCCTACATTGGCTTGGGGGCTTTACACATCTCAATTACTCCTAATAATTTTGCAAGAATTGCTGAAATTGGGGACTTGAAGAAGATACAACAATTTTTACATGGTCAAATAGTTCTAGTACAGCTAGAATCAAAATTAGGTCTATTTAGTTCCAAAGCTCACACTCATGCTGTCGTGCTGGGGAGTGACTTGCTCATATGTTGCATCAAGATGAACCTGAAGGCAGGTCTGTACTGGAGAAGGCAAACAAGGAGGGGAGAGCAACTGATAAGGTAGCAGTTTAGGAAGAATTCAAGACAGGAATACAAACTGAATTTCAGGCAGAAGAACGAGGGCTCCAGGAGAGATGTGTAAAAATATTAAGGTAGCACTGAAGGACTTGGCTGATTAGACACAGGGAGTGGATGCTGAGGAAGAATCATGCTACGTGTCAGTGACAGGAGGATGGTGCTCCCACTATCAGGTGACCAAGAGATGCCAAGCAACTAGCTGGAAAAGTGAAATTGGAGCTTGTTAAAACTGTATGAGGGGCAAAAAAAAAAAAAAAAAAAAAAAAAAGGGTGAGAGATCTGAAGGCTTCTAGTGAAGACAGTTCATTTCCTGAAGACTCAACACCCATCCGTGTGGCATGCACTCAAAAATCCATTCACAACTGAATTTACCCAACTGCTACTAAAAGGCTACCTTGGGTTTCCTGGAGTCTGAATTCTTTGGTTTTGTTCACCATTCTTCCCACCCTCTCCTCCCCTTTTTTATGGCTTAGCTTCTACATGAGCATACAAGTATGCACACTGACCTTCTGGGACATTGCTGACCCTTATTGCTTAGCATGCTGTTTTGTCAAGATTGAATCCCAAACACTTTTAGTAATAAATTCTTTTATTTAAGACTCTTTCATTATTAATGACTGGGTTTATTCCTGGAATGAGTTCTGACCAAAGATTGAGGTGGATAGGATGCGTATAGATATCCTAGTGGGAAGGACAGGAGTTGTACTCAGCATGCCTTTTATATCTATTTTATAAGGGCTTTAGGCCCCAGCAGAAATCCCCACATTTGTTTTCTAGGGATCTTTCTGATAATTTTATTTTAATTTTTTTTTTTGGTGGGGGTAGGTCAAATCATCAAGGACATAGATTCCAAAAGTCCAGCAGAAAAGGCTGGCTTGAAGAACAATGACCTGGTGGTTGCTGTCAATGGCAAGTCTGTGGAGTCCCTTGATCATGATAGTGTGGTGGAAATGATTAGAAAGGGCGGAGATCAGACCTCTCTGTTGGTGGTAGACAAAGAGACAGACAACATATATAAACTGGTAAGTAATACAAGGTCACATATTCATGAAGTAAGGCTGGGTCCATTCACTCATGCCCTCAAACTTTGGTTAAGTTACCACTTTGATCTTCATACTGGAAGAGGCATAACAATCATCATTAAGGTTGCACTGAAGCTCAAACTGGTAGATAAAAGAATGTGATGGGTTCATGAGGTTTAAGTCCTTGGAAATAAGATTTTTGAAAGAATTTGCAAATATAACTGCAGAATTTCTCTTGGTGACCTGGGAAAAATCTATGAAAAATAGCCTGGAAATAAGCAGATGTAGTCCTAACTTTCCCAAATAGAGAATGAGTGGATTTTAACCTATAGACCAATGTGTTCTATCAATCCCATGTAAAAGCCTAGAAGGGATTATTACTTTATAAACCCTTAGCAAGGGAGTAGAAACACAGATTCATCAAGACCAAGCTGTGTCAAACTAACCTTATTTCCTTTTATCTTTTAGTCACAATACCTATTGTCTGCATATTTTAAGGTTTTTTTGTAACACTTTTATCACAAGAATTGAGGTTCACTCTAGCTTAGCAGACATTCGGGGGCCTTCTAAAGTGCCATCTGCCTTGTTGGGTGTTGGTCACAAAAATGAACAAAGATGAACTTGTTCTATGTGATATACAATAGAAGCATCCAAAGGTATATAAATGATATAGAGGGAGGAATATTTTGGGTGGTAGAATTAGCCTCCTTCAGATTAAAAAAACCTGAAGCTTAGACAGACTAAGTGATTGGCTAAAATCACCCATTTTATCAAAGACTGAAGTCAGTATTTGAAAGCAAGTTTTAATTTATTATGCCATACTCCCTTCTAGCACATTTTGAATAGACATTTCAAGACATCTGTGTAAAGAAGACTAAAGACTGAACTGGATGATAGAAAAATTAATGGGTTTTTAGCTAGTTGAACAACCATACCTAAGAGCACTTGATACTGGACCAAATGTCAACCCGAACAGATGTCTAATAGCATGCTGTTTGTTCCTAAGCTAGTATATTAAATGTGGATGGAGACATGGAAAACCTATTTAATATACTTAAGTCACCAGTTCAGTTCAGTTCAGTCATTCAGTCGTGTCCGACTCTTTGCAACCCCATGAATCACAGCACGCCAGGCCTCCCTGTCCATCACCAACTCCTGGAGTTTACTCAAACTCATGTCCATGGAGTCGGTGATGCCATTCAGCCACCTCATCCTCTGTCGTCCCCTTCTCCTCCTGCCCCCAATCCCTCCCAGCATCAGGGTCTTTTCCAATGAGTCAGCTCTTCACATGAGGTGGCCCAAGTATTGGAGTTTCAGCTTCAGCATCAGTCCTTCCAATGAACACCCAGGACTGATCTCCTTCAGGATGGACTGGTTGGATCTCCTTGCAGTCCAAGGGATGCTCAAGAGTCTTCTCCAACACCACAGTTCAAAAGCATCAATTTTTCGGCACTCAGCTTTCTTCACAGTCCAACTCTCACATCCATACATGACCACTGGAAAAACCATAGCCTTGACTAGACGGACCTTTGTTGGCAAAGTAATGTCTCTGCTTTTTAATATGCTGCCTAGGTTGGTCATAACTTTCCTTCCAAGGAGTAAGCATCTTTTAATTTCATGGCTGCAGTCACCATCTGCAGTGATCTTGGAGCCACAAAAAATAAAGTTTGACAGTTCCACTCTTTCCCCATCTATTTCCCATGAAGTGATGGGACCAGATGCCATGATCTTAGTTTTCTGAATGTTGAACTTTAAGCCAAGTTTTTCACTCTCCTCTTTCACTTTCATCAAGAGGCTTTTTAGTTCCTCTTCGCTTTCTGCCATAAGGGTGGTGTCATCTGCATATCTGAGGTTATAGATACTTCTCCCAGCAATCTTGATTCAAGCTTGTGCTTCATCCAGCCCAGCATTTCTCATGATGTACTCTGCATATAAGTTAAGTAAGCAGGGTGACAATATACAGCCTTGACGTACTCCTTTTCCTATCTGGAACCAGTCTGTTGTTCCATGTCCAGTTCTAACTGTTGCTTCCTGACCTGCATACAGGTTTCTCAAGAGGCAGGTCAGGTGGTCTGGTATTCCCATCTCTTTAAGAATTTTCCACAGTTTATTGTGATCCACACAGTCAAAGGCTTTGGCATAATCAATAAAGCAGAAATAGATGTTTTTCTGGAACTCTCTTGCTTTTTCGATGATCCTGATGAACTATGGACAGAGGTTCGTGACATTGTACAGGAGACAGGGATCAAGACCATCCCCATGGAAAAGAAATGCAAAAAAGCAAAATGGCTGTCTGAGGAGGCCTTACAAATAGCTATGAAAAGAAAAGAAGCGAAAAGCAAAGGAGAAAAGGAAAGATATTCCCATTTGAATGCAGAGTTCCAAAGAGTACAAGGAGAGATAAGAAAGCCTTCCTCAGCAATCAATGCAAAGAGTTAGAGGAAAACAACAGAATGGGAAAGACTTAAGTCATACAGATGACTTAATGTGTTGATAAATAATTACTAGAGACTAATATTTAAAATATCTAGTCAAGATAGAAGAATAAAAACTAGTAAGTTTAAAGTTTAATCAGGAATATATTTCAAGTACTAAACTAACTTAAAAGTAAATTGTATAAATACCAAATGGTGAGGCCTGAACTGATGACTATAGAAAAAAGTGCAGAAAACTTGATGACACTTTTAAGTAGCTGCCCCTACCCAAAAAACTCAATTTAAGGTTACATTAATTGACATTTGGCTTTTGAAGATGATAGTATTACTGTTCTAAGTTGATCAGACTACACCTGAAATTACCAGTAATGTAATTTTGGGTAAATTACCCTCCTTGTGCCTGTTTCCTTCCTTGTAAGGTGGGTGTATCTATGGCGAAGGGTGGTTATTAAGCATTAAATGAGTTAATCAACAATGTGTCCAGTCCTGACAACCTCACTTTAGGCCAGTGTCAAGAAAGGTAACCAGGGAATAGGTTTTGTAAGACATTATGTGAATATTTAGTTTGAATAACCATAGGTTTTAGGGAAGAAAGAAAAACATTGTCAAGAATTTAAAAGGCTAAATTGTAACTATGTAAGGTAATGGATCTATGTTAATTAACTTGATCATGGTAATCATTTCACAATGTATATGTCTAGCAAATCATGATGTGCACACCTCAAACAAATACAACTGTTGGGTTTTGTCTTTAACCTTTATTGCTCGCCATCCCAATAAAGCATTTAAAATTAAAAAAAAAAAATACAACTGTTAACTGTCAATTATACATTGTTAGAGCTGGGAAGATACATGAAGCAAAAACTGATGAAACTGAAAAGAGAAATACAATTCTACAATAATAGTTGGAGACTTCAACAGCCCATTCTCAATACTGGATAGAACAATCAGACAGAAGTAAGGCACTAGAGGACTTGAACAATGCACCAGTTAGATCTAACAGTCATACAAAGAACACTACCCACAATGGAATACACGTTCTTCTCAACTGCACATGGGATAGTCTCCAGAATAGACCATGTGCTAGGCCACAAATCAAGTCACAAGAGCCAAAAGATGGAATCAACCCAAGTGTCCACTGACAGATAAATGGATTTAAAACAAATAACACACACACACACGAATTTGAAAGGCTATTACATGTGGGAAGTAGCCTTATTTTTGAGGTGTCCTACCGGGCACAGCTTCACCAAATAGAGAAGGCATAAGGAGCTAGCTTTTGGCTTAAAGACAACCAAAGCTACCAGGAACAAGCTCTGCAGAGTGGGGAGCTCCCAGTTGGAGGAAAAAAATCAAACAAGTCAGAAGGTCACTGCAGTAGCTGCTGTAAAGGGAATTCAGGCATCAAGTCCTCTTCATGCATGCTTGCTTGTGTGCTTGCTGAGTTGCATCCGCCTCTTTGCAACCCCATGATGGACTGTAGCCTGCCAGGATCTTCTGTCCATGGTATTTTCCAGTCAAGAAAATGAGTGAGTTGCCATTTCCTCCTCCAGGGCATCTTCCCAACCGAGGGATCAAGCCTGCATCTTCTGTGTCTCCTGTGCTGGCAGGCAGGTTCTCTACCACTAGCACCACCTGGGAATTCCCAAGTCCTTTTCAATGCCTCCTAATCTTACGACAGAGTGACTTAACTATAATTTTAATGTTTTGATTAGTATGAGAGAAATTGGATCTAAGATGCCTGTCTCCATCCTCTTCCTCCCTCTTCTCTCCCAAAGTAACTTCCATAGATGGGTAGGTGCATGAGGGTTGGATTTTTGATATATATATATATATATATATATATATCAGTGACTAAAACAAACACTTAGACCAGTTCTTGGCACATACCAGACACCCAAATATTTGAATGAAGATGAGTAAAGACTCATTACTATCCTCTGCCTCAAGACTAGCTGCTATTGTCAGATATAGTTCATCTGTAGTGATAGCAGAAGTATTTTTGCATGTGATGAGTCACTCCGACAATTTTCCACATTTTAAAGAGAAAGAAATGTGGGAAGATTTGCAAGCATAGCATTGAAAGATCTGAGGTTCATTGAATTGGGTAAGTAGGAGGTTCTGTGCTGGTACTACTCTTTTAAAAAAAATTTTATTTTAGGTTGTGCTTGGTCTTTGTTGCTGTGAGATAACTTTCTCTAGTTGTGGTGTGCGGGCTTCTCATTGTGGTGGCCTCGCTTGTTGTGGAGCACACGGGCTTCAGTAGCTGCAGCTGCGGACTCTAGAGGGCACAGACTTGAGTAGTTGTGATGAACAGGTTTAGTTGCCCTGAGGCAGGCAGGGTCTTCCCAGACCAGGGATCAAGCCCATGTCCCCTGCATTGGCAGCATTCTTATCCACTTTATCATCAGGGAAGTCCTGTGCTGGTGCTACTCTTGTTTAGAAAGGAAGATGTGGCCTTGGGGTAAAACAGGTGATACTAGGACCCCAAATCCGTTTTAGCCAGGTTGTTGAACAAGAAGTAGGAGATCATAAACCTAAACTCTGCAGGCTGGCTAGAGGTGAAGATGGCTATGGCTTTCACTTAAACACGGTTCGGGGTCAGCCAGGCTTAGCTTCAATTGCTTGATTTTCTACTCATTGCCTAACAAATGTCCTGCACACCTGTGGGCAGTAATTAAACTGCTGATCCAAAATCTTACCATATCCAAATATACAGCTATATAAAATATACAACTAAATAAAGTTTTAATTCTCTTAACTAAAACCCACAGTCAGCTAAACTCTTCATTCTGTAACAAAAACTAGTCCTATGTTTCCTGTTTCTCTGCCTTTTTATATTTAAGACCATCACTGCCTTCTTCACATGGACAGTCTGGGAGCTGAGATGGATTAGAAGTATTTAAAGATAGTGAGGAGTCTGGATGGGACGGAGTTTGGGAGAGAATGGATACATTTATATGTACGGCTAAGCCCCTCTGCTGTCCACCTGAAACTCTCGCAACATTGTTAACTGGCTATACTTCAATGCAAGATAAAAAGCTTAAAAAAAAAAAGATAGGAGTCTAGCATAGCAGAGTGTCAGCTAATGGTTATAGCAGCAAATAGTAAAACAGAGTACAACAGACAGGACTGGAGCGGGGAGTGGGAGAAGCAAGTAGTAAATGACTGGAATTGACTTTTGTTATCATATGTGACTGTATGATTGCCAACTTCCTCTACCCACTCCCCCAAATGATCACTGTAATTCAAATAGTGACAAAAATATCATCTTATGTTTCACTTTCTCTAATGTGTTTGAGGGGCTCAAAACAGTTCTGAAGACCATCTTACTGAAGGAAAGGGTGAAGTGAACCTCCTCTGCATGAGGTATTGGGCAAGTCACTCAATGTCTTATAATCTCCCAACAGGGAGACTGCTGACAATTTGTTCAGTGACTTGCTCACTATCATGGAATCAGAATAAACTAGCAGTTCTGTTAGATTTGGATCCTTGTACAACATTCTATACTGCTTTTATTTTATGTGTATGTACATTTGCTTACACAAATGTATGTATGTTTGTTTATGCTCATTATTCTGTAACTAAGCTCAATCCTCCTTTATACCTTTTCTGTTTGGGGTAGTAGAGATATTTTATAGCCCACAACCAGATGTATCTGGAAGAGGAGTGGAACATAGTGGATACCTTATAAATTAAACCAGCACATTTAATAAAGTGTAAATTCTCATACTTATCATTAATGGTTTTTTCCACTTTATTTTCAAAAGGCTGGCTTTTCTCCATTTTTCTACTATCAAAGCCAAGAGCTGCCTAATGGTTCTGTCAAGGAGGCTCCAGCTCCTACTCCTGCTCCTCTGGAGGTCTCAAGCCCAGAAACTACAGAGGAAGTAGGAGATCATAAGCCTAAATTCTGCAGGCTGGCTAGAGGTGAAGATGGCTATGGCTTTCACTTAAACGCGGTTCGGGGTCAACTAGGCTCATTCGTCAAAGAGGTATGGTGAGCTAGTTCCAGCAGCCCAGTGAACACAGCCACACTAAGGAGAGTCTCAGTTCCTCCCACTCACTAATGGCTCAGTAAAAAGATTACACCAAAGGCCTACACTGAGTGTCTCACTTGGGTTCAAGTAAATACTGGTCTCATACCCTTTAAGATAGCTATGAGTACATCAAAGTTCACATCATTTGTTTCTGAAACATCTGTGTGTCTCTTTAGACATTTCAAATCAAATAAACAGTGAGTTGACATGACTGTAGTTGATAGTCACTACTAACAACTCTTGTCTGGAAGTAATACTTGTTTGCTTCTGTGTGTCTGGCATAATACCACTACCCTGCAGATACTGACAGTTAGAAGACTATCTCTGTAGCTCTCAAGTTGGGAATGAAGACGGGGGACCTATGGAATCTAATGCCTTCACCCTGGAAAGCACCATATGAAAGATATACAATAGGATATTCAACCACTGTGAACACTATTCTTTTGAGTAGCACTTATGAAATTGTAGCTTTCATAAGCAGAAAGCATTAGGGCACCATTTTAAACTTCTGTACCTCAAGGAGAAATGTCTGTATTCTCAACATGACTGAGAATAAATTCTCAAAGCCCTCATCTCTCCTCTGCAGAATTGCTAGTCTAACACTCTGTGGCCTCTGTTTGGAAGTGGTAACTCAGAACTCTGCTCACAGGTGCAGAAGGGCGGCCCCGCTGACCTGGCTGGGCTGGAGGATGAGGATGTCATCATTGAGGTGAACGGAGTGAACATGCTGGATGAGCCCTATGAGAAGGTGGTGGACAGAATCCAGAACAGTGGCAAGACTATCACACTCTTAGTCTGTGGAAAGAAGGCCTATGATTATTTCCAGGCTAAGAAAATCCCTATCGTTTCCTCCATGGCTGATCCGCTGGATGACGACCTGGATCCTGATGAAGGAAGGCTGGAAGAATCAGAGCAAGACTCACACACTGCAGAAGAACGAGAACGAGTGAGTGGTGACACATTGTTTTTAGTGATCTAACTAACCAGAGTACGGTAAAGTCCTTAACAAGTGTACCATGTATCTACGCTTACCACAGTTCTCCTAAAACACTAGCAAATTCAGTACCGTGGGTGAGAGGAGGTAATTTAAGAATAAACTAATTTTTCATAGCATGGAGTTGACAGTAACTTATCAAAAATTACAATGAAAACACCAGAAGAACCCAAATCAGACTATTTACATACAAATTCTGGAATTGCCATTTATCACTCTTGGGTAACAGGCTGGGTAATTTACCAGCCTTGGGTAACAAGTAACAGAAAACAATGGATTTATTCTCTGTGCCTCAGTTTCCCCACCTATAAAACAAAGATAACTTGTAGGATTGTTACCAGGATATATTAAGACTGTTAAAGTCTTTGAACAGTGCCTGGTTTATGGTGAGCATGAAAATGAATGGTGGTGGTTAGAGACAATATTCTTTTTAAAATAACTGGCAGGTATTCAAGTTTCATTACTGGGAAAGAATAAACATTATTCTGTTTGTATTTCATTTAGATAAATTCCTTGACAAGTCTCAATTTCTCTTCATAGATGAACTTGAGGCCCAAAAGTAAACTATCCAAGTTCATAAAGGAAATGTATGACAAAGCCAAGACTCTAAATAAAAGTTTTACATTTTTTTCATTACATTATTTCTGCAGATTGGTACTCTAAAAAGCAAATACTCATTTTTAATGAATATAAGCTGTCTTAGTCTGTTTGGGCTGCTAAACAAAATACCATAGACTTGGTGGCTTATATACAACAAACATTTATTTCTCACAGTTGTGGAGGCTCAGAAGCCCAAGATCACGGCACTGGCAGATTCAGGGTTTAGTGAAGGCCCTCTTCCAGGTTGCAGACTGCTGACTTCTGGCTTGCCTTCATATGGTAGAAGGAGCTAAGGAATTCTGGGAGGCCACTTATAAAGGCCTAATCTGAGTCATGAGAGCTCACCCTCCTGACCTAATCACCTCCTCATCACCTTGGGAAACAGGATCTCAACCTCTGCACTTTGGGGAGATACAAACATGCAGACCATAGCATACATGTTGCCATTGACCTTGTTTCCTATATTGTTTCACAAAGAAAGTATTCTAGATGTCTTTAAAAAAATTCTATAATAACTCTATAGAAAGTCAATTATAGTACTATGCTAGTTTATAGAAAAGAAATATGTATATATATAGATAATAAAAGGAATGTGTCAGGGTCGAACAGCAAGCTGGAAATGAAGCCAAGTACAGAATTATGGACACCAAGCTTCTAGTGAGTGACTCTTCTTCCTGACTCAAGAGGTGCAAATCTAAAACAGACCACCCATCTCCTTAAGTTCACATTCTTATCACTTACACATCTCTGTTTTCTTTTGCACAGGCCCACAGTACAGCCTCTCATTCTTCTTCCAATTCTGAAGACACACAGATGTGAAGAGAACAAGCACTGGCTCTGGCTGACAGCTGTTTCTGGGTATTTAATAGGAATCCTTTCCCAAGGAATGAGCTGACATCCGTTTACTGTCTTTGTTAGAGAAGAACTCCTTGGAAACCAGTTCATCACATGTGATTGTCTTCTGCTGTCATCTGTCTCAGGGGTGGCTACTGCAGAAAGCTTATTTATGGCCAACTTAGGAAAAGTTAATATACGAGCCAGATGCTTTTCATGAGATCTCTTTCAACCTTCAACTTAACTGCTCTTCTCTGTTTGATGTTATTTCTTCTATAGGTTCCCAGAGCACCAAAGATGATTCATAAATCTGTATATGTGAGAACTGCTAATTAAGGTATCTGAGCAGATAAGCCTATTATAACCATGCTATTGTAAGAATGTTGTTGTTGCTGAAATAAATGCCATTAAAAATGCCTTTTGAATATGCTTGAATTTTCCCTGTTGGCTGATAGAACCTTAATAGTGCTTTTGTTTCTGGTAAACTTTTTTTGTTTTAACCTTCATTTTGCCTCTAGAAACCCCCAACACAACAAAACTCAGAATAAGATCTCAGTAACAAAGAGAGACTTCCTGGTAATAAAATTCAAGATTTTCTTAAATTGCATTTGAGTGTCCTACAAATTTTCCAAAAGTTTCCTATTACAGATGAAGACTGAGTCCTAGGATAGGAAAGTGACCTATTCCAGTTAAGTTATTCATTGTTTTACCCCACAACCCCACAAATGGCAGATGAAAAGAAAAAATGAAATATCACCAGTGACTTTAGAGTAATTTCCTTTTAAATAATACTAGTTTAAAGTGAAAGTGGAAGTTGCTCAGTCGTGTCCGACTCTTTGTGACCCTATGGACTATACAGTCTGTGGAATTCTCCAGGCCAGAATACTGGAGTGGGTAGCCTTTCCCTTCTCCAGGGGATCTTCCTAACCCAGGGATTGAAATAAGTTGAAAGGAAATAAGAAAAATGTCATACTCTGAAGTCTCTCTTGGTACACTCTATTTCAGTTGCATACCACTCCTTCCCCAGCATAGATGAACTTTTGGTTATTTGAAGGGGGAAAGGGATGGGGAGGAGGGCTGGGACGCTGACTTAGATCACACAAGCATGATACCAAGCTATCCCTGATAGAATGACAGTAAGGCCCAAGTGTTAACAATCTCTGATTTTAATGATAGTCAATCTCAAGGGAAACTCATAACCTCCTCCATGGGATCCTTAATTAAACAGAATCTCATGTGTTTAAGCAGCTACCTTACATTTCTCTTGCCCCCGAGTTCCAGTGTATTTTCTCCCTTTAGTTTCTTGGCTCCTTTTAGCCCCCCCACCTGGCATACTCCACCAGCCTCAAACCAAACAGCGTACTCTTGGCTGAGTGCTAGCTTGAGTTACTTCTCTCTCATATAAACGAGAAACTGAAGCTACTCATGATTACAGTGTCATCTGAGGTGGAAGGCGTAAGCTGCAGGTAGAATATGCTACCACGGCACTATGTTGTTTTAAAAATGTTAGGCCCTAGCTCCTCCAGTTTTTCCCTTTTATATCCAAATTCTGACACCACTGGCCTGTAAGCAGTCTGTAATAGGCATGAGTTCAAGGTGCCATATGCTTCTCTGGTGCCTGTTTGTGGGCCAGATAGAGGAAGAGTATGCTGGAGAGAGCACTGACCAGGAAGATGACATCAAACCAACGGTGATAGAAGTTGAATTGCAGCTCTCCAAGGACTTCGGTGATGATGGTGCGGTACTCCAGAGGCATGCTCATTCGGATCAGCAGCACAGATGAGACGAAGTACATGCCCTATAGATCAAATGAATCCAGAAGGGGCTTGAATGCAGTGACAGACAAAGGAAATTGTTAAAATACTAAAAAGTATGAAACATTTCTGGTATTTTACAGCTCTACACATAAAGCTAGTTTATTAAACTTACCATTATCTGTGCTAATAGCAGGACAATGACATTGGAGGACTTACTACTGGAGATGGCATAAAAGAACTGTCAAGAAAGGGAGGAGAGATGATTATACAGTACTTCTACATTCCTGTGTCAATAACATTTAGTATGGTTAGCATGTAAATAAAAGTGTTTTTTCCATGCCACCAGCTTGTGTAGAACCGTTCATAAGATTAAGGCTATAAATAAGACATTTAAACAGGCTGCCCCAAAAGGATCCACTTATAGTTTTCCCATATGGGTAAGTATGGGAAAATATTACTACAAATTAGTAGCATCACTACTAGTGATGCTTTGAAGGAAGCATCACTATGAACAAAGCTAGTGGAGGTGATGGAATTCCAGTTAAGCTATTTTAAATTTTAAAAGATGATGCTATTAAAGTGCTGCACTCAATATGACAGCAAATTTGGAAAACTCAGCAGTGGCCACAGGACTGGAAAAGGTCAGTTTTCATTCCAATCCCAAAGAAAGGCAATACCAAAGAATGCTCAGACTACTGCATAGTTGCACTCATCTCACATACCAGCAAAGCAGTGCTCAAAATTCTCCAAGTGAGGCTTCAACAATATCTGAACCAAGAACTTCCAGATGGTTCAAGCTGGATTTAGAAAACACAGAGGAACCAGAGATCAAATTGCCAACATCTGTTGGATCACAGAAAAAGCAAGAGTTCCAGAAAAACATCTGATTTATTGACTACACCAAAGCATTTGACTGTGTGGATCACACCAAACTGTGGAAAATTCTTCAAGAGATGGGAATACCAGAACACTACCTGCCTCCTAAGAAATCTATATGCAGGCCAAGAAGCAACAGTTACAACCAAACATGGAAAAACAGACTGGCTCCAAATTGGGAAAGGAGTATGTCAAGGCTGTATATTGTCACCCTGCTTATTTAACTTATATGCAGAGGACATCATGAGAAACGCTGGGCTGGATGAAACACAAGCTGGAATCAAGACTGCTGGGAGAAGTATCAATCACCTCAGATATGCAGATGACACCATCCCTATGGCAGAAAGAGGAACTAAAACGGCCTCTTGATGAAAGTGGAAGAGGAAAGTGAAAAAGCTGGCTTAAAACTCAACATTCAAAAAACTAAGGCCATGGCATCCAGTCCCATCACTTCATGGCAAATAGATGGGGAAACAACGGAAACAGATCCAAAATCACTGCAGAGAGTGACTGCAGCCATGAAATTAAAAGACGCTTCCTCCTAGGAAGAAAAGTTATGACCAACCTAGACAGCATATTAAAAAGCAGAGACATTACTTTGCCAAAAAAGGTTCATCTAGTAAAAGCTATGGTTTTTCCAATAGTGACATATGGATGTGAGAATGGGACCATAAAGAAAGCTGAGCACTGAAGAATTGATGCTTTTGAACTGAGGTGTTGGAGAAGACTCTTGAGAGTCCCTTGGACTGCAAGGTGATCAAACCAGTCAATCCTAAACAAAATCATTCCTGAATATTCACTGGAAGGACCGATGCTCAAACTGAAGCTCCGATACTTTGGCCACTTGATGCGAAGAGTCGACTCATTAGAGAAGACCCTGATGCTGGGGAAGACTGAGGGCAGGAGAAGGGGGCGACAGAGAACGAGATGGTTGGATGACATCACTGACTCAATGGACATGAATCTGAGCAAACTCCAGGAGATAGTGAAAGACAGGGAAGCCTGGCGTGCTGAAGTCCATGGGGTTGTAATGAGTCAGGCAGGAATTAGCAACTAAACTGAATTGATATGGGTAAGTTGGTGGTTTTAAGTATTATAATGTGAAAAGATTCCTACTTACCAGAAACCATGTGATACATATGACTTTAGCATCATTACATAACATTAAAGCAAATTACACCAGACCACTCCAAGCCCCTGTAATTGTTTCTGGGTTCCTGGGCTCTTCCTAAAATTGTGCTGATATGTTTGCAGAGCCCTTTCCCCCTCCCAACCTCTTCGTTCCTTTCATTTCAACAGCTCTTGGATTTTGAAGTCCCACCTCTTCTACCAGAGCATTTACCTTCCAGTTCCATGAAACTTTCCTATGTTGATCAGAAAAGAGCCCAGCACTCAGCTTCTCCTGCTTCCATATTCTCTTTACAAGTAACTTTCCCAGTTATTCGTCTCACCTCAAATACCACCTTCTTTATTCATTCCAACTGTCTGCTACTCAGTGTCTACCTGCACCAGTTTCTGTTCTAGATGCTGGTGACACATCAGTGAATGAAACATACTGTGATCTTATTCTATGACCTTTGGTAACTGTACTTATCTGCCTGGTGTATGATGTAAATACATTATCATCAATTTATGTGCTAGTCTAACTTTTTCTTTTATTCTGTCACATGTCTTATACAAATTTGTAGCTGTTGTTTAAGATCTCAGAAGGCAGAAATCTTAATTAGGTAAAGTTATCTCACAGTGCCACATGTAATTAAGTACTTTTCAACTCAACTCCGTGATACAACCTACCTTGGTAAGAGTGATCAGCAGTCCTCTGATAGATGTGACTATGATTATTCCAACCAGAATGAAGGAAATGTGTTGGGACCAGAACTTCACCTGTCAAGACAAGAGGAAGAAAAAATATTTGTTAAATCTCTGTTCAGAGAGATGGGAAAGCTAAGACGATACATTATCATCACTTAAGTGACTGTGAGAGGGAACTTCATTAGTAAGTAAGTGGCAATAAAAACATGTATGCAAAGACTTCAGTGGGTATCTTAATTAGCAGACCTAAAACTTAAGGACAGAAGACAGCAAATGCAGTGAAATGATGAAAATAATACTAATAAATCAGAAGAAACACAAAGCAAATAACATAGCTTCAAGTAAAAAGCATGAATTAAAAGGAAACTAAATAGCAGCCTGATAATGTTTAATATTTGTGAATGACAGTTCTCTGATCACCCAAAACTTAAATAATAAAAGAGTATGTAGACATTCTCAGCTATGGTCTAGGAAGTAGTTGACCTTTATTTGAATCACAGGATGATACCTTTTCCGTCTCGGATTGCTTCAGAGTGAGAGGCAGCTGTGATACCCTCTGTTTGATTCAAGGCTGAAAAGCATCAGAGGGGAGCTATATTGCCAACATCTGAGAGATGTTATTCAGATTTATGAAATGTGGAGTGGTGTGTAGATGAGTTACAGATGGAACACATATACATACACAGCAACTAGCCCTAGAAAAGCACTAACAAGGAAGGGCATTTCTAAAAATTCACCCCAGTAAAAAAATTTTAGAAGAAAAATACATATAAAATATGAGTGAAGCATGCTTTACCACATAATTTATATACTAGTTGAAGGAAAGAAACCATGCTCCTTCACATGAAAAGGGATCCACTGTTGATTTATCGTCTAAGAAATGTGTGCCTTGAGTTGTTTCTCAAGGACTGGAGCTCAATTTGCTCTGGTGTATTTTCATTTTATCCAGCTACCAGGGGCACGTCCAGCTGAGGGTATCATGCAAACTACGGCCAGGATCATAGAACAACTAAACGGCACTCGTAAGGACTAAGAATGTGACACTGGTTTTACTGCCAAAGTGCCAACCAGCTAGAATCACTGGCCATATAAATACCTGGAAAATGCACTATTCTACAAATAAAGACATTAAACTCAAATTGGGACAAGACTGTCCCAATTATAAAACAGGTAGAAAGAAGATTAAAAAAAAATTTGTGCACAAGGGACAGTTAACCATTTTTAGCTCAAAGCCCATATGAATTATACAGATAATTTTTTATAGCAGAAATCATTTTAGTTCTAACACAAAAACACTAATTAGTAGTTAATTTTCTACCAGAGGAATCAAAGGTGAGTTATATGTTTGAAGATATCATCAAGTATCACAGACAGAAATATTTGAATATTTGGTAGGGAGAAGCTGAAGAGTGGCAGCTGTGACTAAGAAGAGAAGGAACTGTAGAAGTGATCACTACCTGTGAAAACAATAATTCCAGTCATTAGTTATGGTTTTAGGCCCTTTACGAATCTGCCATGTGAATATGCCAAAACAATAGAGAGGGAGAAGAATGTAAGCAGAAACAAGTACCTAGAGTAAGGACATAGAATCTTAACATAAACAAAGATTTTGATACAACTCTTACATCAAATTGGATCCCCAGATAATTCACAGTGATTTCAATGCCTCTTGTGACTGGATCAGTTTTCCCAACTCGGTCAAAAACGATATTGATGGTTGCCTACAGAGACACAGACCTTTACATTAGAGTATCTCAAAAATCAGTTTCAAAAAATGATTCAAATAATGAATCACCAAGTGTTTCTTACAGGTGGATATATGCAATTCTACTTTCAGTCTAAATCATACATAAGAAATCTATTTTGGCTATTCATACATCGGCAAACAAAAGTCCGTATCTACCCTATCTTTCTTTTCTGTAGAGTGTAAAGGGGGATAAGGCTATGACATATACACCTCAATTTATTAGGATCCAGAAAGGTAACATTCTGGTAAAACACAAGGTAAGAGAATCAAGGAATTCCAGGGTCATTCCCTATGGTTATTTTCTGAAAGCTCTAATAGCAATCACTAAAACAATAAGGAGTTATTATAGCTGACGAGCCAACAAAGATCAAATGGAATTATGAAAAATAATCGATTAATCCAAAAGAAGAAAGACAAAAGGAAAAAATAACACAAGACAAATAAAAACATACAGCAACAGGGTTGCTCAACCATAACAATAACACATTGAATATAAATGGTTTACTACTGTATAGCACATGGAACTCAGTGTTATGCGGCCTGGATGGAAGGGGAGTTTGGAGAGAATGGACACATGTATATGTATGGCTGAGTCCCTTTGCTGCTCACCTGAAATTATCACAACATTGTTTGTTAATTGGCTATACTCTAATACAAAATAAAAAGTTTAAAAAATATATAAACGGTCTAAACCAGAGGTTGGCAAACTCTGCCATGGTCATATGCCTGTGTAGATAAATGGACTTGGCTGTGTTCCAATTAAACTTTTTAAATAAAAGCAGGTGGTGGCTGGATTTGGCCTAGGGGCTACAGATGGCTGACTCCTGGTCCAAATATGACAAATAAATGGCAGAGACCATTAGATTAGATATAAAAGCAAGTTGTTTACAAGAAGCCCACTTTAAATATAAAAATACAAATAGGTTAAAACTAAAAGCATGTAAAAAGATATATTATGCTAATGATAATCAAAAGAAAGCTGGAATATCTATATTAATATCAGACAAAGTAGATTTCATAGCAAAATAATGTTGCCAGAGACTAAAAGGGTCATTTCATAATGATAAAAGAATCATTTCATCAAGGGGTACATAGTGATCCTACATGACAAATATGAAGAAAAAAAAATGATATAATTAAAAAAAGAAATAGGCAAATCCACAACAATAGGGGGAAATTTCAATACCCCTCTCTCAATAATTAAGCAGTCAGAAAAGCAGAAAGAGTATAGAAAAACTTAACAATATTATCAATCAACTTGACCTAAGTGAGACTTGTAGGCTATTTCACCCAACCAGAGTAGAATACACTTTCCATTCAAGTGCACAAAGAACTTAATTAACCATGGTTGACCATATTCTGGGCCAGAAAACAAGCCTCAATAGACTTATAAGATTTAAATCATACAAAATATGTTCTCAGACCACATGAAATTAAATTAGAAAGTAGTTAAAGAAAGATATTCAGAAGATGCCCAAATATTTTATAACATACTTCTAAATAACCGATGAGTCAAAGAAGAAATCAAAAAGTAAATCAGGAAGTATTTTGAACCGGATGAAAATAAATATAGACATATCAAAAAAGTTGCATGTGTGATATACAAATAAAATAGTGCTTAGTAAGAAATTTGTAGCATTAAAATGCCTATATTTAAAAAAAAGTTTCAAGTCAATGATCTTAGCTTCCTCTTTAAGAAATCAGAAAAAGATACCCAAAAGAGCAGCAGAAGAAAAATAATAAAGATCAGAGCAGAAATCAGTGAAGTAGAAACCAGAAAAATAGAGAAAATCAATTAAGCCAGATGCTAGTTCTTTGAAAAGTTCAATAAAATCGATAAACTTCTATCTAGATTGATCAGGAAAAAAAAGAATGAGAGATATCAATTCACATCCACCAAAATATTGAAAGATATACCCAATTGAAGGCAGAGTTCCAAAGAATAGCAAGGAGAGATAAGAAAGCTTTCTTAAGTGAACAATGCAAGAAACAGAGGAAAACAATAGAATGGGAAAGACTAGAGATCTCTTCAAGAAAATCAGAGACACCAAGGGGACATTTCATGCAAAGATGGGCATGATAAAGGACAGAAACGGTATGGAGCTAACAGAAGTAGAAGATATTAAGAAAAGGTAGCAAGAATACACAGAAGAACTATACAAGAAAGATCTTAATGACCTGGATAACCACTATGGTGTGGTCACTTACCTAGAGCCAGACATCCTGGAGTACGAAGTCAAGTGGGCCTTAGGAAGCATCACTACAAAGCTAGTGGATGTGATGGAATTTCAGCTGAGTTATTTCAAATCTTAAAAGATAATGCTGTTAAAAGTGCTGCATTCAATATGCCAGCAAATTTGGAAAACTCAGCAGTGGCCACAGGACTGAAAAAGGTCAGTTTCATTACAATCCCAAAGAAAGGCAATGCTAAAGAATGTTCAAACTACTGCACAGTTGCACTCATTTCATATGCTAGCAAGGTAATGCTCAAAATCCTTCAAGCTAGGTTTCAATAGTACATGAACCAAGAAATTCCAGATGTACAAGCAGGGGTTAGAAAAGTCAGAAGAATCAGAGATCAAATTGTTAACATCCATTGGATCATAGAAAAAGCAAGGGAATTCCAGAAAAACATCGACTTCTGCTTCATTGATCATGCTAAAACCTTTGACTGTATGGATGACAAGAAACTAGAAAATTCTTAAAGAGATGGGAATACCAGACTACCTGACCTGCCTCCTGTAAGGAGAAACCTGTATGTAGGTCAAAAAGCAACAGTTATAACTGGACATGGAACAACAAACTGGTTCCAAATTGGGAAAGGAGTACGTCAAGGCTGTGCATTGTCACCCTGCTTATTTAACTTATATGCAGAGTACATCATGAGAAACGCTGGGCTTGAGGAAGTACACGCTGGAATCAAGATTGCTGGGAGAAATATCAATCACCTCAGATACGCAGATGACACCACCCTTATGGCAGAAAGCAAAGAGGAACTAAAGACCCTCTTGATGAAGGTGAAAGAGGACAGTGAAAAAGCTGGCTTAAAACTCAACATTCAAAAAACTGAGATCATGGATGGCATCTGGTCCTATTACTTTATGGCAAATAGATGGGAAACAATGGAAACAGTGACAGACTTTATTTTTGGGGGCTCCAAAATCACTGTAGACAGTGACTGCTGCCATGAAATTCAAAGACTCCTTGGAAGAAAAGCTATGACAAACCTAGACAGAGTATTAAAAAACAGAGACATTATTTTGCTGACAAAGGTCCGTCTAGTCAAAGCTATGGTTTTTCCAGTAGTCACGTATGGATGTGAGAGCTGGACCATAAAGAAGGCTGAGCACTGAAGAATTGATGCTTTTGAATTGTGGTGTTGGAAAAGACTCTTGGGAGTCCCTTGGACTGCAAGGAGATCAAACCAATCTAATCCTAAAGGAAATAAACCCTAAATATTTACTGGGATAATGATGCTGAAGTTGAAGTTCCAATACTCTGGCCATCTGATGTGAAGAGCTCACTTACTGGAAAAGACCCTTATGCTGGGAAAGGCTGAGTAAAGAGAAGTGGGCAACAGAGGATAAGATGGTTGGATGGCATCATCAACTCAATGGACATGAGTTTGAGCCAACACCGGAGATAGTGAAGGACAGGCAAGCCTGGCGTGCTGCAGTTCATGGGGTTGCAAAGAGTTGGAAATGACTCAGCGACTAAACAACAACAAAATGACTATAATTAAAAAGATAGATAATAAGTATTGGAGAGGATGTAGAGAAATTGCAACCATCACACATTGCTGGCAGGAATATAAATGGTGCAGATGCTTTGGAAAACAGCCTAGTAGTTAGGCAGTTTATTAGAAGGTTAAACATATAGTAAGCATATAACTCAGCAATTCTACTTCTACAGATATATACCTAAGAGAAATGAAACACATGTCCACATAAAAACTTATACATGGGGTTTCCCTGATGGCTTAGAGGTAAAGAATCCACCTGCCAATGCAGGAAACACAGCTTTGATCCCTAGTCCAGGAAGGTCCCAAACGTCACAGAGCAGCTAAGTCCATGTGCTGCAACTCCTGAGTCCACACATCCTCGAGCCTGTGCTCTGCAACAAGTGAAGCCAGCACAACGAGAAGACTGCACTGCAACAGCAGAGTAGCCCCTGCTCGCGGCAACTAGAGAAAAGCCTGCACAGCAATGAAGACCCAGCACAGCCCACAAAACAAACACACATGAATGCTCAACAGCATTGTTTATAGTGGCCAGAATGTCACAATAAAACAACTCAAATGTTCATCAACTAATGAGTGGATAATTTAAATTAATGTGACATATCCATATAATGGAATAAATATTATTTGATCATAAAAAGGAATGAAGTATTTATTGATAGAGGCTACAATATAGATAAACCTTGAAAACATTATGTTAGGAAGCCAACCACAAAAGATCACATCTCATGACTCCATTTAATAAAGTTGTTAATATGTTTATATATTAACATTCAATTATAGAATTTAATTATATATCACATTCACTAATTTATTAACATATTAATATTCCATGCAAACCCTTCTACTAATTGGAAGAGAAAGAAATACTTCTCAACTTATAGTTTAAGGTTAGACACCTAAACCAAAGACATTAACAAGAAAACTATACTCTGAAATTCTTCATAAACATAGATGCAAAAACTCTTTAACAAAACATTAGTAAATTAAGTCTAACAAAATATTAAAAGGATAATACACTTGGCCAAGTAAGGTTTACTCCAGGAATGTGAGTTCAGTTTAATGTTCAAAAATTAATTTTACTGTATTAGCAGACCAAAAAAGAAAAACCATATGATCATCTCCATAGATGCAGAAGTGACAAAATTAAACATGCTTTCATGATTAAAAACACTTAAGAAACTACTAATAAAAGAAAATTCCTCAATCTGATAAAGGGCATCTAGGAAAAACCAACAGCTAACACCATACTTAATGGTGTAAGACTGGATGCTTTCCCCCTAAGATCAGGAACAAGATCAGGGTGACTGCTTTGCTTAATTCTGTTACTGGAGGATTTGGTCAGTGCAGTAACGCTTGAAGAGGAGGAAAAGATAGGATGGAATTGTCTATGTAGGAAATCCTATGTAATTTATAAAAAGCTTCTAGAAACAATAAGAGAGTTTAGCAAGGTAACAGAATACAAGATCAATATACAAGAATCAGTTGTATATCTATATACTATTAACACTTGAAAATGAAAATTATAAAAACACTGCCATTTATAATAGCATCTAAAAATCAAATACTTAGATAAATCTGATGAAAGATGAGAAAGATCTGTACACCAAAAACTATAAAACACTGCTGAGAAAAACTAAGAAAATCTAAATAGATAAAGAGTTGTACCATGTTCATCGATTAGAAGACATATTGATCAAGACAGTGTGGTACTGGCAGAAGTAAATATATAAGATACACATAAATCTCAATAGAAAAAAAGAGAACAGAAATAGACCCATATACATAAGGTCAATTAGTTTTTGACAAAATTGCAAAATTGCCTCAATGGAGAAAGGATACTCTTTTCAATGAATGGTGCTAGAACACCTGGATATCTATGTGAAAAAAGTGAACTTGGATTCATACTCCAATATCATATTAGAAATTTAACTTAAGATGGCTCACAGACCTAAATGTAAAACCTAAAACTATAAAATTTCTATTTTATATTTTTCATATTAATAAAACATGAAAAAAAATCTTTGGGACCCCAGGTTAGACAAAGATTTCTTAGATACAACACAAAAGCATAATCTATAATAAAAAAAGAATAGATTGGACATCATTGAAATTAAGACCTTTTGATTTCTGAAGATTTCTAACAGAATGAAAAGCCAAGTCACTGATGGGAGAAAATATTTTAAAATCACATATTTGATAAAAGGTTACCAGAATATACTGAAAAACTCTCAAGCCCAACAAAAAGAAAACAATCAACCTATTTAAAAAATGGGCTTCCCAGGTGGCCCAATGGTAAAGAATCTGCCTGCCAAAGCAGGAGATGTAAGAGATGTGGGTTCGATCGCTGGGCTGGGAAAATCCCCTGGAGGAGGAAATGGCACCCCACTCCAGTATTCTTGCCTGGAAAATTCTATGGACAGAGGAGCCTGGAGGTCTACAGTCCATGGGGCTGCAAAGAGTTGGACATAACTGAATGATTGAGCACAATTAAAAAACTGGCAAAAAATCTGAATAGATACATCACCAGAGAGGATACACAGGTGGCAAAAAAGCACATAAAAGTTGTTCAACATCATTAGGCATTAGGAAAATACAAATTAAAATGATTTAGTACCACCTCATATCTATTAAAACATCTAAGATTTAAAAGACTGACTACACAGCCTTAGCAAGGATGTGGAATAATTGAAACTCTCAAATACTGCAGGTAGGAATGTAAAATGGTACAACCTCTTTGGAAAATTGTGGCCATTTCTTCAAAAGTTAACCATATGTCTGCCATATGATCCAGCCATTCTACACGCAAATGCTTTCTCCCAAGAGAAAAGAGAACATATGTCCAAACACAGACTTGTAGACAAATATTCACAGCAACTTTATTTGTAATATTCCCAAATGGGGAACAAACAAATATTGATCAGCAGGTGAACAGATAAACCAAATTGTGGTGCATCCATACAGTGGAATACTACAAAGTATAGAGAGACAAAGGGGCCTGAGGAAACATTCAGAAGTGATGGATGGCTATGTTCTCTGTTGATTGGGTGATGGCCATTGCACAGGTATACGCATGTATCAAAACCTACCAAATTGTATGTTAAATATGTAGTTTGTTGAATGTCAACCACATCTCAATAAAGCTGTTAAAAAATGTTACACTCTCCTAAAGGCTGCATCTCAGGGAAATCTTTAGTAGCTTAATAATATGAATACTTGATAACTGAACACACTATCTTCATTTATCCTCTCCCGCTGAAGAAGTCAAGATTTTAAAATGTCATCTGAATGGGTATTAACATCAATTTTTTATAACATTTAGATCTGTCAAATTTAGAATCCTCCATTCATCTACACTGATCAAAATTAACTAACAAGCTGACAAAGCTCCTCTTTGTGCAAGCACAGCCTCAGTGGGAAAGTCATCAAACCAGAAAGTCAAATCAGCCTTTTTTATAATCACACTGAAATCCATTAATACCTGCAGATGGGTCACAAGTAAAGACAAATAAAGCAGTGCATCAAATGCACATAAAGAATAGAGCGGGAGGGCAAGCCATAAAAGAGTAAGAGCTGGAAGCACAGATGAATTTATCTGTAGGAATATGTTTTAGAATTTACTTTTTTGGGTATATACAGATTATTAAAAAGGACAGGTGGTTTCTGTTCTGAGCTGAAGGTTGGAGTAGTGTTATATAGTCATGTACTCATGGGTAATATGAAGAGTAGGGTGTAAAACAGGAAACCTCTATAGGCACTTCATATATTTCACAACCTAAGAACTTACTAATGATTTCTGACAGAAGACAAATGCAACCTCCTGTTTCTAGGGAACCCAAAAAGAAGAGGGGGAAGAGGCTCAGATATGTGAAAGATGACATGCTCTGTTAATGCAGTTGGATTTGGCACTTAGTTCACGGCCTCAACCAAACCCAATTTTCTCTCTGCCATTACTAGAGAAAATCATATAAACCCTGATAATTAAAAAAATATACTTACCATGAAAATTTTCCAAACACAGTAAATAGAGAAGAAGTAACCCAGAAAATTAAAGTATTTCCCTTTGAAAGTTTTGGAGTATTCTATTCTCTCCTGAGGGAGAATAAACACAAAACACGGTTAGTCCTAGCAAAATGTATACTTATATCCTACAAAAATATTTCTGCCTCTGTGAATCACTGTTCAGGCTAAGGATTAAAACCTTAATACAATAATAATATTAAAATAATACACGATAATAATATTAAAATAACAATAATAGTAGTAGTGGGAAAATTTATTGAATGATTACTTTAAACCAAAAATTAGGATAAACACCTTACATGCAGTATCTACTTTAATCTTCATAACAACTCTTATGAGATATGTCCTTTTTAATTTTACAGATGAGAAAATGAAGGCTTAGAAAGGTTAAATAACTTGCTTAAGGACACACAGCTAGTGAGTAAGGGAAGTTAGGCTCAGGTCTACCTGTCTCTAAAGTCTATGTTTCTCTCTATCCTATACAGCTATTCCTGTGAAGTGATCCTCAAAAAGGATTAAAAGAGTCTGAACAACCTTAAATAATAGATTTGGCATGTTTAAACTATATTGCATTTTAGGTGCACATAGGAAAGTTTCTTCTTGTAGTTAGGTTCCTTCCTAATCTGGCTCCTTTAAAATAGAGCTAGGCCACAGCAGGGCTTCCCCAGTGGCCCAGAATCCACCTGCCAGTGCAAGAGACTTGGGTTCGATCTCTGGGTCAGGAAGATACCCTGGAGAAGGAAATGGCAATCCAGTCCAGTATTCTTGCCCGGGAAATCCCATGGACAGAGGAGCCTGGTGGCCTATAGTCTATGGGATCACAAAAGAGTCAGACATAACTTAAGGACTAACAATAACAATAGACCACGGCAGATGGATATCTTACTGCTCTTCCAATATTACTAACTTGCAAGAGAATAAAAAACAATCACAAGAGCTACCATAGGAGCTACCCTCTTGATCTTGGCCATCAGTAGGAAGTGATGTGTGCAACCTTCCTAGATGATTAAAAGCTTCTTCTGACTATTCCAGTAATTTCCATCTTTGAGAGCATTCCATTAAGGGTTTTGCTACTGGTAGGAGCAATGTCACAAAAAGTCCAGGTATCAGTGCTTCATGACTGATACTGAAGCTACTGAGGTGCCTCTTACATGGCTTGGCCATAGAGGATGCTACAAAGCTTATTTAGTCTTGCTCTCTCTTCAATCACATTGGTAAAAACCATACTACAGCTTCCTTGCTCTGTACCTTGGTAGCATATAGATCAGCTGTTTCCAGAAAAAGTTGCCTGCTTAGTTCTTCCAAAGCATCCACTTCCTGTTGAATAAGAGTAAGATCTGGCACAAAATGGGCATCAAGGTTTAAATCACACAGAAGTTTCAAGGAATAGCAATGAAGAAAGCACATGCTTTTGGTTTCTTCTATAGCGAGTCCTAGGAACTGCCCATATTTCCAATTTCCTGCTTCAATAGCCAGCAGTACTATTTCAGAACTATTTTTCCAATCTCAGACACAGGTGTATAAAAGCTTTACCATTAACAGCACCACCACCAAACACCTACCACTCAGTTTTACACTAACTTGAAAGTGGCTCAGGTAGGTACTTCTGTTTATTTTTGCTTTATCTAGTTAGCTTAAGCCAAATGTCATTTTTGAAATCTCAAAAGGTTACATAGTAAGAAAAACACCTACAATATACAGCAAAGTTTTCTCTTGCATTATCTTGAATAAATACGATGTTAGGAAAAGGGATCTAATATTTACTGCATTCTAATACAGGCTGGGATTTATAGACATTACCTTCTTCAGTTCTTTACAGATCTTATCTTCTATCATTCACAACAATCCCATGAGATAGGTGTCATTATCCATTTTGCAGATAAGGAAAGTAAAGCTCAGAGAGTCAAATATCTTGCTCAAAGTCACACAGCTAATAGGCGTGGAAGCAAAGTCAGAGCTGCCTTACTCCAAGGTCTGCTCTTTCCATTACTCTATGCCACCTTCTAAAGAAGGCAGTGAGGCTGTGTGATTATCCTCTCCATTTAGGAAAGGACTCAGAGAGGTTCAATAATCCTGATACTTTTTTGACTTTGGTTTAGTGTTGCTGAGATAGCTTAAACCTAAAGTTTGGCTTTTATGAATTTTTAAGTCATAAAAATAGTAAAGATAGCCCTTTCTAAAACAGAAGTTTAATTGGTTTTAATCCAAATCCTCCCTCCTCTCTGTAATTTTTCCCTCTATTACCCAAATCAGCAAGTGCCCTTCAGCTCCCTCAGTAGTGGCTGCTATTGGCACAGTTCAGGCCACTGAATACATGGCTCAGTTACAAGTCTGGCTCCCCCATGATTAGGCAGTTAAGTTCCTTGAGGAGAGAGGCTATCTTCTGCTCATCAGTTTAGCACACTGTTTGGAAATAGGAGACATGAAATAAATGTTTAAATACATTTAAAGTCACCTTTTTTCCCCCCTCTCTCCTGTTGTCATCCCATTTTGTTTGTTCTAATTCCTACCTGCATTTCACACCAGAAAGGTATATCATAATTTATAGCAAGAGCAGGTTACATTCTTTTCCTTCAATTGAGGCAAAAGGAAATTTGTTCTTCCTCAGGCCAGAGAAGGGAGGAATACGCTTAAGCTATCTCACCTCTAGTCCCTCACGCCAAATTCTGGCTTGACAGCCTGACAGCCACAAAGAGATGTGGTTACTCAATTTGGGAATTAGTTTAACACTGCAACCACCTGGGCCAAGACAAATTTATTAACACAATCTCCTTGATTCTTTAAACCAGAAAGTTACTGGAGATAAAGAGCTGCTTAAAATTTGTTTCTAAAACTGACTGCTTTAGAAATGGGCCCTTACAATCCATATACAAACCAGTCATTTTAGGGAGCCACTGTTTTGTGGTGTTTTTTTCAAGTTGGGAAATATAATAGTGTAGTGGAAAGAACTAAGGAGACCACAGTTCTGGTCTTACATTTGCCACAAGCCACTGTGTGACTTAACTTCTCTGGGTCTATTTTCTCATCTGTAAAATGGAAAGACTGACTTGTTTGGATACCTTCAGCTCAAAGACAATGGTTTTATTATTTTAGGATTATCTAAGGCTTTCTTTTTCCTAAGCCCAGTCCTGACCAGCTGAACTGTGATGCAGTCAGGTATCTTAGAAGAGAATGTCTCTGTCCCAACACTAATTTTTCTTCTGCCTTTAGTCCACAGTTGAGAAAAAGAAACAAGCCAATGGATAAAGGATACTTTCACTTCCTGGTGCTGAAGTGGTAACGCTCTTTATCATCCCCCAGAATCCTGATGGTTTGTTATGCACCTCCCCCTTCTGGAACATAGTCCTCCGTGTCATTGCCATCCTGAAATAAAAGAAAATGTAAAGACTTAGAGAATGAACTTATGGTTGCCAGGGGTGGGGAATGGTGGGGGTAAGGATGGGCAAAAGGGATAGTTAGGGAGTTTGGGATGGACATGGACACACAGCTATAATTAAAATAGATAATCAACAAGGACCTACTGTTAAAAAAAAAAAAGTAAAACCTCAGCAAGGGAGCATGGACCCTCAAAGTCCATTCTTGTCGTCTCATAGCTGCTCCTTTCATTTGCTGAGCTGTTCAGGAAAGGAATAAATTCTGGAGTCCCACTTTTCTACTGCTTACAACTGAGGGAAAACTATACACTCCCAGAAGGAATGTGGAATAGGTGAAGGAGCACAGAATTGGAGCTGGCAATAAATCTGAAGATTGGATCTGCCACTTGGAAACTGTAAGGCTTTAGAGTTTTCATGTCCTCATCTCTGTATGATTATGAAGATCAACGAAACAATATATTTACTTATTACCATTATCATTTAAGAACAAAATAAAATAACAGCTAACATGCCTAGATAAACGATCAGGTACAGGGCAGGAACTCAATAAATGTTTCTTTCCTTCCTTTTCAGAAGCTAACAAAAGAAAAAAAAAAAATCAGAAAATCACACAAACCTGGCCTCTTCAAAGCACCATTCTCTCTCTAATGTTAATCTCTTCCTACTACTGAATAAATCAGTGGGACATTTGTCCTTCCTATCAGTTTATGGAAGGACCTACCACGTCAGTGGTGGCTGCTGGCATGTTCCAGCCTATCACACAGATATTAAGAACAGGGTCCTTGTGAGGAAAAATAGACCATTTGTTCATTAACGGTTACTTGAAGGGTACAATAGGCCAAGGCCTACAGGCTTAAAAAAAAAACACACAAGATGAGTTTAATAAAAGTAGATTTGTAGAACTAAAGAAGAATTTAATTCAACGTTAACCTCAAAAGGGTGACAAGAGATAGAAGCGGTAAGGATAAAGAAGCAGCACCGGTGTTCATGGTTAGGACCAATACAAATGGTACCAAATACCACATGGTATTTCTGTAGGCTAAATTAAGCCATTGGCTAAAATAATACAATAAAGAAGACTGCCCTGGTGGTCCAGTGGTTAAAAATCTGCTTGACAATGCAGGGGACATGGGTTTTAACACTGGTCTGGGGAGATTTCATAGGCCTCAGGGCAACTAAATCCATTTGCCACAACTACTAAAGCCCGTGTGCCCTAGAGCCAGCCCATGCTCCACAAGAGAAGTCACTGCAATGAGAAGCCTTTGCACCACAACAAAGAGTGGCTCCTGCTTGCTGCAACTAGAGTAAGCCTACGCACAGCAACCAAAGACCCAGTGCAACCAAAAATAAATAAATAAATAAAAATTTAAAAATAAACAAAAAATTTTAAAAAGCATTAAAAAAAAAAGAATGTTAAGTGTATTGGCCACATTGACTTAACTGTTTCCTGTTAAAATTACCTTTACCTGGATACTGAGTGAATGGAATATAGTTTCCAAGTTGTATTACTTTCTTCATGGTTCCCCTAGATTTATTACTTCATGGCAAACAGATGGGGGAAAAGTGGAAACAGTGACAGATTTTATTTTCTTGGGCTCCAAAATCACTGCAGACAGTGACTGCAGCCATGAAACTAAAAGATGCTTGCTTTTTGGAAGGAAAGCTATGGACATGAGTTTGAGCAAACTCCAGGAGATAGTGAAGGACAAGAAAGCCTGGCATGCTGCAGTCTATGGGGTTGCAAAGAGTCGGTCACGACTCAGTGACTGAACAACAAACAACTATATCTATTCATCATTTTTCTCTTGATGCTTTCAAGATTTTTTATTTGTCTTTTAGCAATCTGACTATATAAAACTAGTCAAACTTGTGTTTGACTTAAGCCTCTTAGATCTGTAAATTAATGTTTTCCACCAAATTTGGGAGGCCTTTGGCCATTATTCCTTTAAGTACTTTTTTTTGCTCCTTAGTCCTAGAGGACTCCAACTACAGGTACCTGTTGGACTGCTTGATAGTGCTTCATCCTGAGATTTTCATTCATTTTTCTTTCATCTTTTATTTCTCTATTCTTCAGACTGAATAATTTCTATTGACCTACTTTCAAGTTCACTAAATAATTCTTCTGCTATCTTAACTCTGCTAAGCCTACCTAGTAAAATTTTCATTTTAGTTACTGTTGTTTTCAGCTTTTGATTTCCTTTTGCTTCTTTTTAAAAATATAGTTTCTATTTCTCTTTTGAGACTCCTTTTCTGTTCACTAGTTAATACTGTATATTCTTTCATTTTGTAAAATGTATTTATAATAGCTGTTTTCAAGTCTGTTTGTTAAAGCTGTTATCTGCGCCCACCTGGAGTTAAGTGTCTATTAGTTGCTTTTTATCTTGAATATGGGTTGCACAGTTCTGTTTCTTTGTAAGCCCAGCAAGCTTTGACTGAAGACTTGACTTTGTAGATATTATGTTTCAGTGACTTTGGAATCTGTTTTATTTTTCTGAGGACTGTTATTTTTTGTTCTAGCAAGCAGTTTAGCTAGCTGTACTTGAACTGGTAGTTCCACCAGGTAGAGAACTGTGATAATTAGGTCAAATTGGGAGGCTGATTCTTCTGAGAGCCACTCAAATTATGAAGACATGCTGCAGGACCACAAGCCATCCCAGATCCTGAGTTAACAAGGTCTATAGGGGTTCATGTATAGATCAGAGCCAAATGCTAAGAAAAATTATTGATGAAATGTCTTAAAAGTGAACATCTGCATTTGATGTGAGTCATGACTTTATATTCATCTCTCTACATGAATAAAGTAAATATAGTAAAAGGGAGAATAATCCTGGGAATCCAAACAGTATGTTTCTATATAAAACAGTATGTTTTAATACTGAATAACATGGCAGCCCACTCCAGTACTCTTGCCTGGAAAATCCCATGGACGGATGCTACAGTCCATGGGGTCGCTAAGAGTCGGACACAACTGAGTGACTTCACTTTCACTTTCCACTTTCATGCACTGGAGAAGGAAATGGCAACCCACTCCAGTGTTCATGCCTGGAGAATCCCAGGGATGGGGGAGCCTGGTGGGCTGCCATCTATGGGGTCGCACAGGGTCAGACACGACTAAAGCGACTGAGCAGAGCAGCAGCAACACTGCTCTTATTGCTGTATTCTAAAAATCGACAATCATATTCATTCATGTAAAATAAACTGTCGAGTTTGAATATTAACAAAACATATATAAGTAAATAAATGTATACACATACGTATCTACTTCCAGTCCCCTAGTGAAGATGTATAGAAATGGAGATAAGAATTAGTTGGTGAATCTGGACCTCTTTATCATTCCAATATCTATTGTTCTCTCTTACATTAAGTCTTCTGACTTGATTATGTATCTTACTATAGGAAAGTGTTGAAAGAAGACACATGAAATGGAAAAACATTCATCAACTTAGAGCTTCTATGACATTTCTATATGAGTAATACTAACTCTAATAAAAACAGTAGACTAATAAGTTTCACGAAGGTAGGAATTGATTACCTTGCTCATCATTCTATCTCCATGTACTATTCAGCATTTATTAGTGTCCAACATAAACTAGGCTTTCTACAATTAAGTGAATGATTCATTCATATGAATGAATAAAGGCAAAATATTAAAACTAAATGACTGTCCTGCCAAGATTATTAATAAATAGTTTCCCTTAGCTATTTATAGTTCACTATTCTAAGAAGTCTGCATGTCAGTCAACTCATTATTATTATTACCATTTTACAGATAAGTAAATCACGACATAAGGAAATAAAGCAACTACCTTAAAGTCACACCAAGTTGTAGGCCAAAGATTCAGATCCAGATAGTCTGAATCTAGCATCTGTGCTTTTACCCACTGAGACACAAATTTCCAGAAATGCCACTTTGAAAACATACATTTTAAAAGTACTTTTAAAATAATAATAGTTGGGAGACTGAAGGATTTTATAAAGTAGTTGGAGAAAAGGAAGTTGAAACAAAGTATGAAAAAGTTTATAAAAATGCAGGAAAATAGACTGTTAAAACACTCAATGTAGAATACCTTCAAATATTAAAAGATATTCTAAAATTTATCTAAGAGAATTTATATTTGAAGTCAGGAAGTAAGGTTGATTTGAAAATTTTCCTCCACACAAGATTAGACACTAAAGTCTCTGGTAGTTCCCTAACTTAAAAATAAATGAGATGAAATTCCCTGTTAGCACCAGTCATGTCAAATTTCCTTGTTGAGAAATTTGAACAGCACAAGTTTTTACCATGCTGACAGCTTACCTTTTCTTTTTGCTTATGATCATATCCATAGTTTGGAGCAGTCGCCGTTCCAGGGCTAGAATATCTGTGTCAGTCACATTCCTGTAATAAGCATAAGCTGTTAGCAGAGTTTGGGGTTCCATCTTTGGGCATAATACAGGGCAGCTGGAGAAACACAAGAACCTCAGTCATTACCGAGTAATTTAAGGAACTGCACTTTTCCTGGGGAATATTCAAATAAGTATAATAAGCAAAAAAAATGCCTTTATTGTCACTTTTTAATAGCCAATACTCCTGGGGCCTCAGAGGAGCAGAAAGTAACTAGCTATCTTATAGATTTCCTTAGACTTGATCCAGTGACATTTAGGATATATGTGTATCTACACTTTAAACTTGGCATTGTCGTCTACTGTTTTACCTTTGGGAGGAACCAATTTGCTGAAGTTAGGACTGGCTCACATTGTTGTCCATTAGAAATGTGCTTTAAAAAGTGGGAGTGAAAGGGGTTGGAGGTCAGATTGAAACTGCCATTTTAAAAATAAATGTAGGATAAATAACAAGGTCAAGCAATATATAAGTAATAAGACTCATTTAGAAAGATTCCTAGGCCAATATCCAAAAGGACAGAGAAGAATAAAAAGGCAGTATCATAGATCTAATATTTAAGTATTAGTGATGGGGGCATGATGTGACATATGTATTCAAGAAGTAATGGGAAGAAAAGAAAAAGACAAAATTCTCGTTACCTGAGGAAGTAGGACATGTAAGTGTATGGACAGTTGACAGCACCAAATCCAGAAAGAAGAGCCATGAGAGTCACCCCAATCACACCTACCCGGCTGATGAGTTGTTCTATGGATAAGATCCCTAAAAATATGAAAGCACATTAATGCCAGGTGATACAGATAAACCGGCTTTCATCTCACAGCAAAAGGAAACATCACTGAAAACAGCAACCATTACTTTTAGCTAACTTACATGAGCTAAATTATTAATATGTGGATTTTTCTCTAATAAATATAAAAGTCTATTGATTTTCTTCTTATCCCAAGTGCTTCCAGAATCATCTCTATTCTTGGGCAATGGTAAAATAACAATAACATTTGCTGACTATTTACTCAAGGTAACGTGAACTCTAACAAAGTAGTACTTTTAGGAAAGCAAATCTGCTGGAAAAGTATAAATAGGAGATAATACTTTCCACTATAGTTACCTTCAGTCTACATATTTTCCCCTAATGTCTTCAGTTCTTTAGCTATGTCTTATTCATTTTTGCCACCAATAAGCACATAATGCATCTAATAAATGGGTTGAATTTATAGAATGAGTAAGTATGTGAGTTTTAGATACTCAATTTTATTCCAATTATCAATTGTTTCCTATTCTTTGAGAATGCTGAAAATCAGTGTGGTAGTTAAAATAAATCCTATTTTTTATATATTTGGAATAAGTAAAAGAAAGCAATGCTAAGAGTAACTCAGAAAGTCTGGTGTCACAGGAAAAAACTAGTTCAAATTCGGTCTCACTTCCTATTTCTAGGATAGAGTTGACTTCAGCCATCCACTCCTGTGGCCTAACACCAGAGGGATCATTCAGGAATTCTATGGACTCTGAAGCTGTACTTCCAATATTTAAGTCCTCTTGTGTCTGTGTTTCCACTACTCCATTTTAGAGCTCATTGTGACCGCTGGTCTCTAGTCTTTTGCATCCCCTGACCTTCTAATTCCTTCTTTGCTGAACCTGGACTTCAAGCTTGTTTAACTTCTCTTGTCAGGACCCTCAGCCCCTACTCTCCTCCTAAAGCATTGATCCTGCAAACTCCTAACCTTAGATCAACCTGACACTCTGCTTTCCCAGTGCCCATGCCTGAGTTGCCCAAAACTACTAGAATGCATGCTGACATTGATGCCATTATAAGAGTATGGTCTTCAGTCTTAACAGAAATCATTCACTACTAAGGAATCCTTTTCTTGCCCTTGGTCAGTCATCTCTCCTTCTACCCCTTAGCAGATATACTTTAACCCCTTTTTTCCAATCTTTGTTCTTTTAAGCTAATGTGCTTATCATGTAAGAAAGAAGTTATTAGACATCAACTACCTTCAAACATTTACATCTGCTATCATCCTTCTAACTTGCCCCCTTCAGAACAAGATGGTGTCCACAGCTAAGGCTTCTCTTCCTGTGCTTGATCTTATGCCCCTTCCCCCTCTGAAATTTGTTCTACTGTCTGTCCTCTCTCTCTCTCTCTCTTTTATCTTCAATCTTTCCTTCTTTGCTGACTTTTTCCTTTCAGTTTCAAGTTTCTTTCCTAAGAAAAAGTCTGTCCTTGGCCTTGAGTGTACATCTAGTTACCAACCCACTCTATTGACCCCTTAAATGGAGGAGCTTCTTTCACGTCCATTTATTCTTCAACTGGCTGCAATTCAGCTTTCATCCCACTGTTCTACACTGAATGAAAGTGCTTTCACTAAAAATCACAATGGCAATATAATAGGTAATATTCACCAAGCACCTGTTATATACTACGTACTGTTTTAAGTATTCTGCTGCTACTGCTGCTAAGTCGCTTCAGTTGTGTCCGACTCTGTGCGACCCCATAGACGGCAGCCCACCAGGCTCTGCCATCCCTGGGATTCTCCAGGCAAGAACACTGGAGTGGGATGCCATTTCCTTCTCCAATGCACGAAAGTGAAAAGTGAAATTCATTTAATTCTCATAACAACTCTGAGGTGGATATTACTGAAGATCTCACTTTACAGATGATGAAATAGAGGCACAGAGAAGTTAAGTAACTCAGTCAAGCTAACATAGCTAATAAGTGGCAGAGTCAGGATTTAAACCCAAACAGCCTAGCTCCAGAGCCTGGACTCTTAGTCATTATCATAATATGGTCAGGAATTTTCTTCTGATTGCAAAATTCAACATTTTCCAACCCTTGTTTTATTTGATCATTTATGACATTGAATTATTCCTATTTTACATTATTTTCCTTTCTTGGCTTTTATACGACCATTTCTGTTTTCCTTCTCTACTTGCTTTTTCTTGGTCTGTTTTTGCTCTCCATGGACCAGAACTCCCTCTTTCATCTCAGTCTATACATTTTCCTTGGGTGATCTTGTCTGTTTCCCCAGTGTCACCTAACAGCATTTAGCTGATGATATCTAATATTTTAGATTCCTGGAATTATCTCCAAGAGGACAGATAAATCTATACTTTTAAGTTCCTGATTTGTGTATCTAATTACCTACTGAATATTACTTAGATGCACACAGGCAACACAAATTCTACATATCCTAAACTAAAATCATCTTCCTTCTTCTGTATTACTTTTCTTAGCAAATGACATTATCAACTATCTGGTCACCCAATAAAAAAAATCTATACCATTAGTTTCTATTTGCGGTCTCTTACTTGGTCTTGAATACACACCTCAGGGCTTTACATGATGTCTCTTCTGACTTCCTGTTGAATATACCTTTCGTTTTGTCCTTTAAATCTCAGCTTGAATATCACTTTGTCAGAAAGATTGATGCTAAGGGCTTGCAATAAATTTGGTATCCTTATCTGCATTATTTTCTATGATAGCTTTTGTTCATGGTTGTATCTCTAGCAGTTAATATAAACTAGGTGCTCAACAAATATTTGTAGAATTTTAAATGAATGAATAAATCCAAATTCTGTTGAAGGTACTCTTCACATATCTCTTGAATTTGTATCCTTTTTACAGGAAGGATTCATATCTTATTGATCTTTACTTACTGCCTGGCACATGAAAGGTGTTCAACAAATGTTTGTTGACTGTGGATACATAATTATCGCCAAGTTACATTAAAAAAAAGAAAACCCCAAGGGATTAATACAGGTTATATAAAAAACTGGAAAAAAATGTCCCCTCTCTTTTATTCTCTTTAAGGTACTGTCCCTTTATTAAGTATCTTTTTCTGGCTTAAAGTACTTTTAATACTATCTACTTAATCTCAGTATTTCTATGAAGTAAAGGTTAACCATTATAACTCTTGTTTTCTAGCTCATAAATGGAAAGTCAGATGGATTAAGTGATTTGCAGAAGACTATCTCACTGATGCTATTTGCTCACACAGATTCCTTCTAGCTTCATATGACTTCTTAGTTTCTCTTACTCTTTCCTACTATGGAATGTCTTCCAACCTTCCTAGGTGCAGGCACTGCACAAGGAATACTTTTACAGACATTTTTTCTTTTTTTAAAATTTAATTTTTTTCAGACATTTTTTTCATATAAGTAAAGATCGAACCTTATAGTTTTTTCCATGGTGTCCATAGCAACAAACCACACTGGTTGTTGGGACAGTCTGGTGAAAGCTCTAAAAGGCAGTGTAAGCCTGGATGCTTCTTAGCTATTGCCTAAACTTTTCTTCCTACTTATTTCTCTTACAGGGTCAAATTAATTAGATACTTGAACATTCAGAAATAAAACCAAAATGCTTATTTACTGGAGCACAAAGGAAAGACTAACACTGAAACTATTTGTTAGCTCTTCCTCTGGGTGTATTCTTCAGGATATCCCTACAGAATTCAAAAAAGGGATGGATGAAGTTACAATAGATGTGATAGTCTTTATCCCTCTCAGGCACTGTCTGGCTGCACTGGTCACGCGACTTGACTGCTCTCCAGAAGGCTGGAAAAAGGCATTAGTCACACCTTTGAACTACATGTGAGCTTGCACTATCACTGTTAGCAGCTCTGGGGTCCTCTTACCACTACTGTCCCTCATTTCTAGTATCACAGACAAATCTCTCTCTGGGCATTCATTTGAAACAGTTTATATGAGAAGCATATCATCAGGGCCTCTCTACTACAAATTTTGTCCTACAATGACATGGGCATGCTGATCACACTAGCAAATCTTAAATTCCTACCCAGAGTGTTACATTCTTGAACTCATCTACCACCTTGGAGAACCAATTTTTTTCATTCACTAGTTCAATAAATATGTATTAAACACTTATTATGTGCTAGGTTCCATGACAGGCACTAAGGATAAAATGATAAATAAGACTTAGTCTCTGACCTCAGGGAGCTCACAGGTTAATGAGGAAGTTGGATAAGGAAACAAGTAATCACAGGTTTTAAAGGTGATGTAAGTGTACTGAAGCAGGAGAAACTGACATCTCCTAATGACCGCCAGGAAAGTCTTCTTGGAGGAATTGACAAGAGTTGAATACTGAATGAATAAATAGATATTTTCCAGGCAGAACAGAGGTGAAGGACTATCCAGGCTGACAGAACATTCTAGAAACTTTAATTTGGCAGGACAGATAGAGAAAGAGAACAGTTGTCAGGACGTGGAAAGTAATTTATAACATGATAAGAATATGAAGGATTTTAGTATGCTGGTGTTTCTTAACTTTTGGGGACTTATTTGATATTATGTGAAATTTCAAAATAGTTATTTTTGTTTAAAAAGTACACAGTTATTTATAACATTGTACATGCTTTTATTTTTTTTCTTTTCTTCCCAATTATTTTTATTAGTTGGAGGCTAATTACTTTACAATATTGTAGTGGTTTTGCCATACATTGACATGAATCAGTCATGGATTTACATGTGTCCCCCATCCTGTACCACCCTCCCACCGCCCTCCCCATACCATCCCTCTGGGTCTTCCCAGTGCACCAGCCCCAAGCACTTGTCTCATGCATCAAACCTGGGCTGGCAATCTGCTTCACACCTGATAATATACATGTTTCAATGATATTCCCTCAGATCATCCCACCCTCACCTTCTCCTAGAGAGTCCAAAAGTCTGTTCTATACATCTGTGTCTCTTTTGCTGTCTTGCATATAGGGTTATCGTTACCATCTTCCTAAACTCCATATATATGCGTTAGTATACTGTATTGGTGTTTATCTTTCTGGCTTACTTCACTCTGTATAATGAGCTCCAGTTTCATCCATCTCATTAGAACTGATTCAGATGTATTCTTTTTAATGGCTGAGTAATATTCCATGGTGTATATGTACCACAGCTTCCTTATCCATTCATCTGCTGATGGGCATCTAGGTTGCTTCCATGTCCTGGCTATTATAAACAGTGCTGCGATGAACATTGGGGTGCACGTGTCTCTTTAAGTTCTGGTTTCCTCGGTGTGTATGCCCAGGAGTGGGATTGCTGGGTCATATGGCAGTTCTATTTCCAGTTTTTTAACGAATCTCCACACTGTTCTCCATAGTGGCTGTACTAGTTTGTATTCCCACCAACAGTGTAAGAGGGTTCCCTTTTCTCTACACCCTCTCCAGCATTTATTGCTTGTAGACTTTTGGATAGCAGCCATTCTGACTGGCATGTAATGGTACCTCATTGAGGTTTTGATTTCCATTTCTCTGATAATGAGTGATGTTGAGCACCTTTTCATGTGTTTGTTAGCCATCTGTATGTCTTCTTTGGAGAAATGTCTGTTTAGATCTTTGGCCCAGTTTTTGATTGGGTCATTTATTTTTCTGGAATTGAGCTGCAGGAATTGCTTGTATATTTTTGAGATTAATCCTTTGTCTGTTGCTTCATCTGCTATTCTTTTCTCCCATTCTGAAGGCTGTCTTTTCACCTTGCTTATAGTTTCCTTTGTTGTGCAAAAGCTTTTAAGTTTAATTAGGTCCCATTTGTTTATTTTTGCTTTTATTTCCAATATTCTGGGATGTGGGTCATAGAGGATCCTGCTGTGATTTATGTCAGAGAGTGTTTTGCCTATGTTCTCCTCTAGGAGTTTTATAGTTTCTGGTCTTACATTTAGATCTGAAGCTAAGATTCTGAATGTCACCTGGGTTGCCTCATATCCACTTGCCCATTTGAGACCTCAAACACAGACGTGAATAATGCAGGAGTGATGACAACACTTGGAGACTGGAGCAGCTGGAGCCATTTCTCATGTCTGGTCCCCAGTCATAGGTCCTAAGTGGCAGGTGACAACTTCTATGGTTTTCTTTTTCCTCCAAATTTAGTACTATGTGGTTGGGTGTTTCTCTTTACTATGTAGCACTCAAGTTTGACACCCTGCTTTACCAGAATTTCTAAAAACTCCCAATACACTGTAATAAACCACTTCCTGCTTAAACTAGTTAGAGCAGAACCTGTTTTCTGCTATAAGAACCTTGACAGGTATGGCAGGACAGTAAAATGAAAAGTTTGTATATTAAAAAAAAAAAAGCTTCAGTATATGAAAGTCCCAGTATATCCATTACAGGTAGGTGCTCTAATGTAACATTCTGGAGGAGTATTTATTTCTGAAGTAGTTCTAGAAGAACTTGCTTGTTGAGGGATTTTGCCCATTGATTAGCATAGAAAGCAGGGCTCTGTCCACGACCGCTTGTTGTATTTAAAATGAACTTTTTTGTGTGGAGAGACACTAACTCCTAAAAAGCTTTTCATCGACTAATATATGTCATTGCTCTTTTCCAAAATACAAACACTCCCTAGAGACGATCTTCGTTATCACTTGAGCACTGACCATTTACCTCTGGGTCACAGACCACTTTGGGAATCTCATAAGAGCTTATGGATACCTCACTTCCAAATATACATATACATTCCCATCATTCTGCATAAAAACCAGGAGGCTAAAGTTAAAGATACCTTTCTCAATCCATTATTCCCTTAAAGTTCATTCACTAACCTAAAGTCAAAACTCCTGCTCTAAAATGATATAAGTCTGTTCCCAAACCAGCATCTGATACCTCCTAGGATGAAAGAAAAATTCAGTTCAAAACCAAACATTTTTTTAGAGAAATAACTTGCTGTGTTTCCCATAAAAAGTAATTTATAAAAATTGATTTTTTGCAAAGTAGAAAATGATAACCCTTTTCCCCTCCCCACCACATACACTCACCATGTTTGGGGCTGAGAATGGGAAATGGATCTCCTAGTTTCCAGAAGAAATACATAAAGGTCAACCATAAGAGACAGGAAAAAAGCAGTCGCTGTTTATGTACTAAGAAAGAGGAGACAAGGTGAAATAAGTATATGTAAAAGAGTTTCCTGTACATAAGTTTATGGGATCATCCTAATTAATATTTGGCTGCCTTGCTGACTTGGTAAGTGAATGGTGGAACAACATAAATTTTAGAAATTGTTTTCTAAACGTCTTACCATTATAAGAGAAATCTAGTTGAGTTAGGGGAGACTTTTTTTTAAGAATGAAGAAGTCTTTTAAAATGACAGTTGAAGAGGGGGAAAAGGTCATTTTCATAAAGTACTAATAACAAGCCCCCACAGTACAAATCAAAAAGTAGAAATAGTACCCTGAATTGGAAAAATGAAAGGCAAAACGTTATAGTAGAAAGAGAAATAAAGTTGTGGCAGGACAAATAACCTAATTATTCATTTAATATTTATTTTGGGCTAACCTTTTAAAGATGCTGTGTATGAGGTGCTAATGTACATGGAATCATGTAATATATGATCTTTTCTGACTGACTTCTTTAACTTAGCATTAAGTTTTCAAGGTTCATCCATGTGCAGCATCAAGCAAATAACATTAGCTACTGAAAGTAATACAGAAACGAAGCTCTCTGCAGCCTCAATCCCTAAGAACACTCATCTTAATCATGTGCTGATATGAGGGTAAAATACTCATCTTAATCATGTGCTGATATGAGGGTAAAATACTCACGTAGTCGGATGTTGCTCACAATAAAATAGCCAATGTAAAAAGGCACCATGAAAACCAGGATCAACAAAATCACGCACAGGTTCATCTTCCAGTGAAAATAACGGGAACTGCAACAGACGTCAAAGAATGATCACTAGTAGGGGAAGAGGGCAGCTAGTTTCACTCTCTTTAGTCTTCCAAAGGAACTCTTGCTCTTTGAACTCAATACTGAATATTTTTCATCTCATTAGTCAACTAGGCTGTTACTATCTACTCATTTATAGAGATTAAAAAATATAAAGTTCTGAAAGGTATATATGGCCATTGTAACCTCTTAAGAATTTCATTTTTTAAATTGAGACTGTTAATGCTCTGGTTATATTCATAGGCAATATATAATAACATATATCAATATATATTATTACTGGTAGATGACTATTGTTTCACTTAACACTGGGAGTCATATTTCAGAATAAGAGTTAAAAGAAAATAAATGTTAATAAAATGCATTATAAAGACACATAAATAGTTCTTCTGTAACCTCAAAACAACTAAACAACTGATCTGCATGATTGCTTTCACTACTGCTTATAAAATATTTTATTTATTGATTTTTAGGACTTTTTATAACAATTTACTGAGACATAATACACATATTTAAAGTGTACAATATAAGGGTTTTCGGTATATTCACATTGTGCAACCACTACTACAAGCAATTTTAGAACATTTTCATCAGTCCATGATGAAACCCAGTACCCATTAGCAATCACTCCCCTTTCCTTTCAACCTCCCCAGTCCTAGGAAGAAGAGCTTTCCATGTAGCTCAGTCAGTAATCTGCCTGCAATGCAGGAGACCTGGGTTCGATTCCTGGGTCAGGAAGATTCCCTGGAGAAGGAAATGGCAACCCACTCCAGTATTCTTGTCTGGAGAATCCCATGGACAGAGGAGCCTAGCAGGACTTCTGCCAGGGGGTTGCAAGAATCGGACACAACTTAGCAAGTAACCACCACCACCAGTCCTAGGGAAGTGCCAATATACTCTGTCTCTATGGACTTGCACATTCTGGACATTTCATGTACATGGAATCATGTAATATATGATCTTTTCTGACTGACTTCTTTAACTTAGCATTAAGTTTTCAAGGTTCATCCATGTGCAGCATCAATCAATGTTTCACTCATTTTTATGGCTGAATAATATTCATACCATTGTAAGGATATACCACATTTTGTTTACCCATTCATTAGTTGGTGGACAATTGGGGTTTGTTCCACTTTTTAGCTTTTCTACCATTTGCATATCTTATTTGGAGAAATGCCTACTCAGATCCTTTGTCCATTTTTTTCCCTTTGTTTAATTTTTGACTGTGTTATTTGTCTTCTTATCATTGAATTGTTAGAGTTCTTTACATATTTGAGATAGAAGTCTTATAACAGATTCATGGTTTACAAAACTCTTCTCCCATTTCTGGGATATCCATAAACTTTCTTGATGGTGTCCTTTGTATTTATTGATTTTAAACTTACTTAAAACTAGGCCTGGTTTCAAAGAACGTTAAGTAGTTAAATGGCTTATGAGTATATATTAAATACAAGATGATGAAAAAAACTATAAGGTAATACGAAAGGAAGGAAAAACAATGGCAAAATATAGGTAGAATATCAGGCTAGGCCTGATGGCTATTGTGAAAATTCACACCTTAGAGTTCTAGAAACTTGCTACCTATAGCAATAAAATTTAGCTTTACCTTTTCTAATGGTCAATTTAAAATAGAAAAATCAATCAGTTTGATATATCATAGTGTATGTAAGAAAAACAAATTATAAGGGAAGCATGCTGCTGCTGCTAAGTCACTTCAGTCATGTCCGACTATGTGCGACCCCACAGACAGCAGCCCACCAGGTTCCCCCATCCCTGGGATTCTCCAGGCAAGAACACTGGAATGGGTTGCCATTTCCTTCTCCAATGCATGAAAGTGCAACGAAGTCGCTCAGTCGTGTCTGACTCCTAAGCAATGCCATGGACTGCAGCCTACCAGGCTCCTCCGTCCATGGGATTTTCCAGGCAAGAATACTGGAGTGGGTTGCCCCTGCCTTCTCCGGAAGGGAAGCATAATTATTACTAATTATAACTGAATTATTACCATGATCATATTGAAATTTCTCCAAAAATTTCTTAAAGAAGAAAATATGAGAGCAGTTAACAATGTTCTTCACACCATCCTTTCAAGAGAAACATAAGTGAGTTTCAGAGGGCTATTTCTTACTGTTTACTCCTTAGTGCATATGGCAGGAATCATAAAACATAGCTACTTAGTAAAGGCTATCCTATAGAGAGCCAATACCATTTAGTTTAGATAAACTGACAGCTTTTGCTCATCTGGATTACCCACTTTTGAGCATTGAGAGAAAAAACATGCACATCCTCCAGGCAATTGTACTCAGTATTTCAGCTAAGTTTCTGAAAGATACTGAGAGGCAGTGGGTTTGAAATGCCAAGTGTAATCCATATTGCCCATTAAAAGCAAACCATATATTTTAACTCTAATTTGAGCTGAGGGTAAAGTGACAGTCTCTTGAGAAAATTAAGGATACCAACAAGATTGCATATTTGAATAGGAGGCTATAGCACTTCTGCTTAGAGATGAGCCAAAAGAATACTCTTGTTCAGGTCGAAGATTTTCCTTTGAAAACTATTCTGAATAGTCAATGCACAGTTAATAATATATGATCACAATCCCTAATTCTGTTACATTGTAGGACCAACTGTTAGTATGAAAAAACAGGTATAACTGAAGATATATCTTAGCCTACCCAATCCTCAAAAAGGACCTACAGAAGAACCAGATTTAGCAATGCTACTTACATAATCTTTAAAATAAGCTATTTGAGGAATATAAATCCAAGTAACTGAGTGACATATCTTACTATATGGGATTATTAACAATAAATGAGACAAAAGTTGGGGGACATCAGTTACCAAAAACAATAACTTTTGTTTTAGATCGAATCAAAGTCCTTTCTAAACTACCTAGACATTACTCATGGCCAGTCAGTACCTGTTTTTATAAATGAAGTTTTACCGGAACACAGTCACACCCATTTGATTACATATTGCCTCTGGCTGCTTTGGCTCTGCAACAGCAAGGTTGAGTAGTTACAATAGAAATAGTGTGGCCCACAGAGCCTAAAATATTTACTCTCTGGCTCTTTACAGGAATGGTTGCTGACCTCTGGTTAGACAGCAGTAAAACTTTCAGGTTGTGATAATAAAAATTTTTTTCTAACTTTATTGAGAAATAACTGACATAGACCACTAAATAAGCTTTAGGATTCCACAATGATGGTTTGATTTATATATTGTGAAATGATTAAAAAAGGTTTAGTTAACATCATTCTCTCATTTAGATACAGTAAAAAAACAAAACAAAAACAAAAAAACTCTCGTGATGAGAACTCTTAGATTGACTTTTAACTTTCCCACATATCACACAGCAAATTAGCCACCTTCCTTCAATTTCCCCTCCTCCAAACTCCCACCTCTAGCAACCACTAATCTGATCTCTTTTTCTTTGAGTTTGGTGTTCTTATTTTTGTGTTTGCTTTTAGGTTCCACATATAAGTGGAACCATATAGTATTTGTCTTCCTCTGTCTGACTTGTTTCACTTAGCATAATGCCTTCAAGGTCCATCCATGTTGTCACAAATGGAAGGATTTCTTTATTCTATACATTGTATATACATTTCATACTTTATCCATTCATCTCTCCATGGACACTGAGGTTGTTTCATGTCTTGGCTACTGTAAATAACGCTGCAATGAACATGAGGTGTTTCGAGTTAGTGCTTTCATTTTCTTTGGACATACTTTAAGAAGTGGAATTGCTGGATCATATGGTAGTTCTATTTTTATTTTTTTGAGGAGCCTCCACAGTTTTCCATAACAGCTGTATCAATCGACAATCCCAGCAACAGTGCACAAAGGTTCCCCTTTCTCAACACCAAGACCACTATTTGTTATTTTTTGTCTTTCTGATGATAGCCACTCTAACAGATAAGAGGTGTCATCTCTCTAATGACTAGTAATGTTGAGCATTTTTTCATGTACCTGTGGCCTGATAAATCTTTGGAAAATGTCTATTCAGGTCCTTTGCCCATTTTAAAATTGGGTTTTTGTTTTTTTTTTTTGCTATTGAGTTACGAGTTCTTTATATGCTTTGGATATTAACTCCACATCAGATACATGATTTGCAAATGTTTTTTCCCTTCTATAGGTTCTTTCCACTTTGTTGATGGTTCATTTTGCTGTGCAGAAGCTTTTTAGTTTGATATAATCCCACCTGTTGATGTTGCTGTTTGTGCTTTAGGTGTGATTTCCAAAAAATTCATTTTCAAGGAGTTTTTCTGCTATATTTTCTTCTAAGAGCTTCATGGTTTCAAGTTTTACATTTAAGTCTTTAATCCATTTCAAGATCTCTTCAAGAAAATTAGCAATATCAGGGGAACATTTCATGCAAAGATGGGCTCAATAAAGGACAGAAATGGTATGGACCTAACAGAACCAGAAAATATTAAGAAGAGGTGGCAAGAATACACAGATCTATACAAGAAAGATCTTCATGACCCAGATAATCACGATGGTATGATCAGTCACCTAGAGCCAGATATCCTGGAATGTGAAGTCAAGTGGGCCTTAGTAATCACCACTACAAACAAAGCTAGTGGAGGTGATGGAATTCCAGTTGAGCTATCCCAAATCCTAAAAGATGAGGCTGTGAAAGTGCTGCACTCAATATGACAGCAAATTTGGAAAACTCAGCAGTGACCACAGGACTGGAAAAGGTCAGTTTTCATTTCAATCCCACAGAAAGGCAATGCCAAAGAATGCTCAAACTACCGCACAATTGCCCTCATCTCACACTCTAGTAAAGTAATGCTCAAAATTCTCCAAGCCGGGCTTCAACAATATGTGAACTGTGAACTTCCAGATGTTCAAGCTGGATTTAGAAAAAGCACAGGAACCAAACTGCCAAAATCCGTTGGATTATCAAAAAAGCAAGAAAGTTCCAGAAAAACATCTATTTCTGCTTTACTGACTATGCCAAAACCTTTGACTATGTGGATCACCACAAACTGTGGAAAATTCTTAAAGAGATGGGAATACCAGACCACCTGACCTGCCTCTTGATAAATCTGTATGCAGGTCAGGAAGCAACAGTTAGAACTGGACGTGGAACAACAGACTGATTCAAAACAGGGAAAGGAGTACATCAAGGCTGTATATTGTCACCCTGCTTATTTAACTTATAAGCAAAGTACATCATGAGAAACGCTGGGCTGGATGAAGCACAAGCTGGAATCAAGATTGCCAGGAGAAATATCAATAACCTCAGATATGCAGATGACACTATCCTTATGGCAGAAAGTGAAGAACTAAAGAGTCAAAGAGGAGGGTGAAAAGTTGACTTAAAGCTCAACATTCAGAAAACTAAGATCATGGCATCTGATCCCATCACTTCATGGCAAATAGATGGGGAAAGAGTGGAAACAGTGAGAGACCTTATTTTTTTGGTCTCCAAAATCACTGCAGATGGTGACTGCAGCCATGAAATTAAAAGACGCTTACTCCTTTCGAATAAGGACCAACTAGATGGCATATTAAAAAGCAGAGACATTACTTTGCCAACAAAGGTCCATCTAGTCAAGGCTATGGTTTTTCTAGTAGTCATGTATGGATGTGAGAGTTGGACTATAAAGAAAGCTGAGTATCGAAGAACTGATGCTTTTGAACTGTGGTGTTGGAGAAGACTCTTGAAAGTCCTCTGGACTGCAAGGAGATCCAACCAGTCCATCCTAAAGGAAATCAGTTCTGAATATTCATTGGAAGCACTGATGTTGAAGCTGGAACTCCAATACTTTGGCCACCTGATTCGAAGAACTGACTCATCAGAAAAGACCCTGATGCTGTTAAAGACTGAAGGCAGGAGAAGGGGATGACAGAGTATGAGATGGTTGGATGGCATCACCAACTGGATGGACATGAGTTTGAGTAAACTCCAGGAGTTGGTGATAGACAGGGAGGCCTGGTGTGCTGCAGTCCATGGGGCTGTAGAGTCGGACATGACTGAGTGGACTAAACTGAACTGAATCCATTTCCAGTTAATTTTTTTGAGTAATATAAGATGGGGGTCAAGTTTCACTCTACTACATGTGAGTATTTAATTTTCCCTCCATCTTTTATTGAAGATCTTTTCTTCAATACTGAAAAGATAATGAAGTCTTTTGTCCATTGAGTATTCTTGGCTCCCTTGTCAAACAGTTGACTGTATATACTTTGGTTAATTTCTGGACGCTTACATAATATTTAATAATTAGCATGTAAAATAACACTTGCCTAGTCTCGACAGTCATAGGATCTATATTTAGCTCAGCCAAGAAAGGTTTGGATTATTAAGTAAAGTCGCTCAGTCGTGTTCGACACTTTGCAACCCCACAGACTGTAGCCTACCAGGCTCTTCCCGTGGGATTTTCCAGGCAAGGGTACTAGAGTGGGTTGCCATTTCCTTCTCCAGAGGATCTTCCCCACCCAGGAATCGAACCCGGGTCTCCCACATTTTAGGCAGACGCTTTTCTGTCTGAGCCACCAGGGAAGTCTAAAGTACAAGTTTAAAAACCACAAAGTCAGAACATATTCCTGTTTTGCCATACAAGTTCTTAATTTATCCATCAAGAGACTATAATCATCAACTCTGATTCTCAAAATAGGGATTTGAGAATATAATCTCTTTATAAGTCTCAAGAGTCAGGGGTCTATATATAATGAGTTACACAGCTTAGCTCAGCATTGATTCCGGACTACAGAGCCAATGCCACTTTATTCTTAAGACTTTTCCATGTAGTGATGAAAAAAAAGTACAACAAAACTCTACACAGAATAGCTGCTGTACTCTAAATACGAATACTGGCCCCTAAAAAAAGGAAGCTTGCAGTTTAACAAGCAAGAAATATTTTGGATAGACTGTTCAATAAACTAACAGGTCTATTTTTTGGAGGAGGACAGGAGTGCCTTTTTAAAAATGCTTTAAAGAACACTCTTAAGTTCAATCAGACTTGAACATGCCTATGAAATAAACAAAATTAACTAGATTGGTAAGAACTGGAGTTCAATCTTCATCGAAGCCCTTAACTAGCTCTGAGGAATTCGGATCTTTTCAGGTAGAGATTTCTCTGTCAGCAGGACAATGTGAAGGGCTCTTCTTGGGATTCAATCAGAGAGCAGCTTGAGAAAAATAAAGCTTCTTGTAGTAAAGGCTGGGACCTAGGTTCTCACAACCCAGTCTCAATTAGTACTTCAGAACTAATGTTCAGACTTGTTTTCCTGCTATTTCACAATCTTTATCAAGCCAGTTACCAGGTGCCTGGAAACCGTATTTGCTATGATTATTACAGTTACTGAGACTAAACTCAGTACACAGTGGATTTTTTTCAGCTACAGGATCCTAGTAAATCTTCCACCATAAAGAAAGTAACATAGGTCTCTTTAAGAGGAGACCTAATTAGTACTCTTACTCACCTGCTATTCAATACTCCTAAGATTTCAAAGATGATGAGCTCAAACATGGTGCAAGAAAATGCGAAAGTCACAGAGAAGATCACCTGTACCACATACTGACGCACCTGTTAAAAGTCAAATAGAGACTAAAAGTCATTTCCTTGTGTGAAATATTGAGTTGATGATTACAAGTTTCTGATTACAAGTCAGAAAACTTATTGTGAAGAAATTCTCAAGTTATTAGAAACAGGACCATGACAGTAACCTATCTAGAGCTAAAAGAATAGATGAAAATAGGTTGTACTTCTAATTCATAGGTCACTATTTCCATCATCCTCTTGTGGATGAAAAATTTAAAGCACAAGAAGATGAAGTGACAAGGTCAGAAGTAGCACTTAGAATTCCTGATGTACACTGACAAAAAATGACAGATTTAGATATACAGGTTAGTTCTAAAAGGGTTTCAACATTCTGCACAGACCTTGAAACAGTTTTAGAACCTCTCCTAGGAGGCAGTAGTGAGCAGAACAGAATCTCTAGAATTCTGGGCTCTTTTAGACAACTCAAACTCCCTGGGGAAGTTTAATGAAGAACATACTAGAAATGACCCCAAATAGTCCATGACCGTTGAGCTTATTACTAAATGAGGAAGATTAATCAGGAAATGTCCAGTGTAGGCTGTGATCTTTCTGAATTCAAACCCTAAGATATGAATCAGACCAGCCTTAGAATTAACTTAGGATGTCAGACTGGTAATTAACACTGAATGCCAGATACCAAAATGAATGAGTACATTTATGAGACATTACAAGTTAAATTCTCTCCCAAAGAACTATTTGCTATTGGTGCGTATACTAATATGACTAAACCATGATATTTCTTGATCCTGGCTTCTGGGCTATATACGACTAGCATTAAAAAAAAAAAAAATCAACTAAGCTTAATTATATTCTCCAATTTAAGAATTATATAGTATAGTAGCAAAAGCTTCCCATCTTGGGAGTAAATATGATTATCTTTTTTAAATTTGTTTTTGACCATCACAGGTCATGAAAGTTCAAGCATAAATGGTTTTTTAATTGAAGTACAGCTGATTTAAAATGTTTCAGGTGTACAGCAAAGTGATTCATATATATATACACACACATATTTCAGATTTTTTCCATTATAGGTTTTTACAAGATACTGAATACAATTCCTTGTGCTATACAGTAGACCCTTGTTACTTATCTATTTTATACGTAGTAGTGTATATCTGTAAACCCAAAGTCCCATTTATCCCCTTCCCCCCTTCCTCCACTTTCCCCATGGTAACCATGAGTTTGTTTTCTATGTCTGTGAGTGGACTTCTATGTTCTAAGTAAGTTCACTTGTATCATTTTTTTAGATTTCACATATAAGTGATATAATATGATAACTGTCTTTCTCAAACATGATTTTTTCTTTAATGGAGGTATTTTTCTTTTCCCATTTAAAACAATAAATTTGTATAATATTAGCATAATCAAAATGATCTCTTCTTACCTCGTAGTCCTTAAACAGCTGTCGCATGAAAAAAAGCCACCCAAATCCAAAGAAAAGTATCTGGAGGAGAAAAGATAGAAGATCAACATGTCAATACATAATCTTTTGAGAAATGCCTTTTACAGACTATTTTATGATAAAAGGTTGCCTAACTAACTAGCTTATTTTAGAGATTAACGGTGACATCCACTCATATAATACCTACTTATTAAAGTCCTCAACAGTGGACCAGATGTTGAAATGCTCTTCAACTTTTGAAATTATCCTTGTTTTAGAACATGTTTTAAGTTGGGCACAAATTAAGATAGTAGCCACATGACAGCTCTGTTCATTGTTCTAAAGCTCATTTATTTTTCACTGGTAAATACCTCCACATACACATACTCTGACACAACTCCTCTTCTTGTATTGGCTAGGAATGTCATCAAAGAATAAAATTCTTTTTAAAAATTATAGTTGCTTTAAAAGGTTGTGTTAGTTTCTGGTGTATTCAGTTATACATACACATATATATATATACACACACACACATACATACATATTGTTTTTCATATTCCTTTCCATTATGGTTTGTTACAGGATATTGGATATGGTTTCCAATAGTGTGCTATACAGTAGGAACTTGTTGCTTATTTTATATATAATAATTTGCATCTGCTGAAAACTCTGAAATTTATCCCCCCCCCACCCCTTTTCCCCATTGGTAGCCATAAGTGTGTTGTCTATGTCTGTGAGTCTGTTTCTATTTCATAAGTAAATTTGTGTCATATTTTAGATTCCAAATATAAGTGATATCATATGATATTTGTCTTTCTCTCTGATTTACTTAGTTTGATAATCTCTAGGTCCATCCATGTTGCTGAGTGGCATTATTTCAGAATAAAATTCTTTTATGCCTTCCAACTCACTTCAGCGGCAAGTGTGAACTCTTGAGTATGGTTTAGCAGATTCTTCCTCCTCTTACTGTGTCCCTCCTATCTACCAAATTCATGTTTTCAGCCATATGGAACTGCCTGTGCTTCTTTAGATATAACATTCTTTCATACCAACACCTTTGCAGATGTTATCCTTTGACAGGAGCTTCTCTCCAGTTCCCTCCTTACTTATCCTGCAAATCTTAACTATTATTACCTCTAGAATGCCTTCTCTGGCCTCTGAAATACAGACAACTTGCTCTTTTTACATAATCCTATTATCCTACCTTGTATTTCCCTTACCAAGGCACTTGCCACAGTTTTTTAATGTCTAATTTAAATATATTCTTTTTAAAAAGACTTTAAGTTCTGTGAGGATAAGGGTCACATTTGTCTTGTCAATCTTTGTATTTTAGCACCCAGCACAATGCCCAGCACATAACAGGCTCCCCATAAATGTTTGCTGAATGGATAAATGGTGCACAGTGAAAGATGGCTTGTTCTTCAGGAACATTCAATCTCAATTCTTTGGTAACAACTTCTATGTACTGTGCTAATTGATGAGGACACAAAGATGAGTAAGATTGTTACTACTCTCAAGGAGGTATAGTATAGTGGTGAAGACACTAAATAATTATAGTGTAATATGGGACATGCAATGATAGAGACACGCACATGATATTGTTAAAGAATATGAAAGAGGGAGACTAAACAAATCTGGTATGGGGTTAGGACAGATTTTTCTGGGGAAGCTAATACCTTGGCTGAAGGAGGTTTTAATTTAGATTAAAACCTGGTATCATGTGCAAATTTGAGGATTATATGCATTTTTCTAGAGAGAGACTTCAAGGTATTCCCATACACTCAAAGGTTCCCACCGTCCCTAAAATATTTTAAAACAAACAAAAGAACCAAACACTCTCTTAAAGTGTTGAAAAAGAATTAGGCAGGTAAAAGACAGGCAGTGGGAGTGGACAGGTCTTCTTTTTCAGACAGCACAGAGCATGAGTAAAGGCACAGAGGTGGGAAATAGCATGGTATACTGGTAACTGCACATGGTTTGGTGCTGCTGGGAGACAAAATTCAAAGGAAAAAGTGGTTAAAAATGAGGCAAAGAGGGGATGAATAGAGGACCAATGACAGAAAGCCCCAAAGGTCACTGTAAAGAGCTTGAATCACAGTCTGTAGGTGATGAGTTATTTAAGGATGGAAAAGACATGGCCAGGTTTACTTTACAGAGAAACTATGGAGGCAACAACACTGTAGAGAAAGAAACTTAACAGGAGGTCGCTGCAGCAGTTCAGATGAGAGATAATAAAGGCCTGAATTAAAACAGTAAAATTGGTTTTTCCAGTGGTCATGTATGGATGTGAGAGTTGGACTATAAAAAAAGCTGAGCGCAGAAGAATTGATGCTTTTGAACTGTGGTGTTGGAGAAGACTCTTCAAAGTCCCTTGGACTGCAAGGAGATTCAACCAGTCCATCCTAAAGGAAATCAGTCCTGGGTGTTCATTGGAAGGACTGATGTTGACGCTGAAACTCCAATATTTTGGGCACTTGATGCAAAAAGTTGACTCATTTGAAAAGACCCTGATGTTAGGAAAGATTGAAGGCAGGAGGAGAAGGGGACAACAGAGGATGAGATGGTTGGATGGCATCACTGACTCAATGGACATGAGTTTGGGTAAACTCTGGGAGTTGGTGATGGACAGGGAGGCCTGGTGTGCTGCGGTTCATGGGGTTGCAGAGTCGGACACGACTGAGCAACTGAACTGAACTGAATTAAAACATCAGTGGTTGGAGTGGAGGCAATGGATTTGAGTACTTCGAAGGTAAAATCAGCAGGGAGGAATTAAGGATGACTAGTTTGGAATATTGGAGAAGGCAATGGCAACCCACTCCAGTACTCTTGCCTGGAAAATCCCATGGATGGAGGAGCCTGGTAGGCGGCAGTCCATGGGGTCGCGAAGAGTCGGACACGACTGAGCGACTTTACTTTCACTTTTCACGTTCATGCATTGGAGAAGGAAATGGCAACCCACTCCAGTGTTCCTGCCTGGAGAATCCCAGGGACGGAGGAGCCTGGTGGGCTGCCGTCTAAGGAGTTGCACAGAGTCGGACACAACTGCAGCGACTTAGCAGCAGCAGCAGTTTGGAATATAGGATGAAGAAGGAGGTCATCCACTTTATATAAAGACGACTGGAGGAAAAAAATTTGGGGAATGTGGATGAGAGACAGGAAGATGATAGGTTCATTTTTAGATATGCTAAGTGCTTGAGGGCCATCCAGGTTGACATAAAAGATTATGAAGCGAGGGCTGAGATCCACCTGAGAGTTGAAACCGTCAAAGAATATGAGATCATTCATGAATAGTATATAGAGTGAAGAGAGCAATATGCCAAGAAGAAAATAGTAGAGAGTTGGAATGGGAAGAAGAGACCGGGAAGGAGACAGAGACGGAATGGTCAGAGAAATAACAGGTGCCAAAACAGTGTGGTATCCTGAAACTAAAGGGAATAGAGTTTAAAGACATGTTCAAAAAGCAGATGGACAACAGAACCAGGATTGAAAAATATTCAAAGTATTTGGCAACTGAGAAGGCAATGCTGACCTTAAGGAAAACAGTTTGAGTAGTGAGGCGGAGGCAGGAACTAGACTTCACCGGGTTGGGGGTGCATGGGGGGTAGCGCAGTAGAGACAATAAACACAGATTACTCAAGGGACAGCCAAGAATGAGAAAGACAGAAAACATCAGACCGTAGCCTAAAGAAGAATGTGGGTAAAGAGAAAAATTCATAGGCCAAGGGGAAGAAAGCAGTAAAGAGATAAACTAATATGAGAAGAAACTGGATGTGAGTTACTATTAGCAACAGCTATCTTTTACTGACCATTTGGTGTATTCCAGGAACTCTAAGTGCTTAGCCTTGCAATCACATTAAATAATAAAAACTTGACAAGGTAGGTTTGATTGTCCTCATTACAGAGATAGGAGAAGGCAATGGCACCCCACTCCAGTACTCTTGCCTGGAAAATTCCATGGACAGAGGAGCCTGGTAGGCTGCAGTCCATGGGGTCGCTAAGAGTCAGACACGCCTGAGCGACTTCACTTTCACTTTTCACTTTCATGCATTGGAGAAGGAAATGGCAACCCACTCTAGTGTTCTTGCTTGGAGAATCCCAGGAACGGGGAAGCCTGGTGGGCTGCCGTCTATGGGGTCGCAGAGAGTCGGACACAACTGAAGTGACTTAGCAGCAGCATTACAGAAATAGCCGAGGTTTAACAGAAGTTAACTCATTTATAGTGGGTGTCAGAATCAAGCTGAAGTCTGTGTGGCTGACTCCAAAGCTTCTGCTTATAATCACTTCACAATAAGCTGCTCCACAATCAAAGGCACATGTGGAAAACATGGCTTTAAACAGGAGTAAGGGGCACCTTATCTTCTGACATGGGAGGAAAGGAGTTGGGAATGGTTATGGACATAGACAACTGCTTAGATTAAGATGTAGAAGGAGCTCACACCTTTTGGCCTCACTTTTGTTGATCAAGTAGGAGGCGACGTCATCTGCTAAGGGCAGGAGAGGTGAAATTGAAAAAAGGGGCTTTGAAAAGAGTGATTAAAAACTCAGAGAACTTATGAAGGGAAGGGAACAAGGAGTTGATTAAAGTCAAGGAAAGAAAAAAGAGTCAATGACCTGAGGGTGTCCATAAACTCAAGGCATCAGCAATCTGCACATATGTGATTTTCTACGAAAGCCTTCAGGCTCCTGAGTTCAGTTCAGTTGCTTAGTCGTGTTCGACTCTTTGAGAACCCATGGACTGCAGCACACCAGGCTTCCCTGTCCATCACCAACTCCCAGAGCTTACTCAAACTCATGTCCATCGAGTTGGTGATGTCATCAAACCATCTCATCCTCTGTCGTCCCTTTCTCCTCCTGCCTTCAATCTTTCCCAGCATCAGGGTCTTTTCCAATGAGTCAGCTCTTTGCATCAGGTGGCCAAAGTACTGGCTCCTGAGTTAGCAGTAGACAAACTACAGCAGTGATCCAATTGTCAACTTTACATGTAGGCAAAGAAACAACTGAATATGAAGGAGCTTGGATCCATGATTTCAGACTGAGTAGAAAAGGAAGAGAGTGAATAGTTTAGGACAAACACCCCTAGACTACTTATGAGATCCCTTGGCTATTTTAAATCATCACCAGTGGAGACATTTAAATTCATAGTTTCGAGTGAGTGAGTGAGTGAAGTCACTCAGTCATGTCCGATTCTTTGTGACCCCATGGACTAATGTAGCCCACCAGACTCCTCCGTCCATGGGATTCTCCAGGCAAGAACACTGGAGTGGGTTGCCATTTCCTTCTCCAGGGGATCTTCCCAACCCAGGGATCGAACCCAAGTCTCCCTCATTGCAGGCAGACGCTTTAACCTCTGAGCCACCAGGGAAGCCCATATTTAAATGATTTCTGAAGTCATGACTGCAGTTTTAAAGAGTAGTGTATATGGTGAGATAGATAATAAAAAATAAAATATTTCACCAAGATCACTCTGAAATGGGACTTTAGACAAGGAAAAGAAAACAAATGAAATCGATGTCTATATGAGGTGGTGGGAAATGGGAGAAAAAGAGAAAAGAGATATGCACCTTTGTATTTCATTGTGGGTTCCTTTCAGATTGACAAAAAAAAGTTTAAAAAGACTTCTACACAACTAATATAAAAAAATACCAGAAAAATTCAAGAAGTCCAAGATTAATACAAATTCTGGCAAGATTATACAGGATCTAAAAAGCACACAAAAGGGAAAAGCAATTTTAAACATTTTGCAAATAAAATAAGAATGTGCACTGCATTTATTAAAAAAAGAGAATATTTTTGAAATTGTGCAGTCTTGACCTTGAGACTTAAGAGTGTACTTTGGAACTGATAAGTCTTATAACTGTAGAGAAGGCTGAAAACAGAGGTTAAATAACAGTTGCTTTCACAAAAGATAACTCCTAAATTCAAAATTAGCTACAGATTAAAAAAAAAAAGGCCATTAGGAGGATAGTTTAAAGAACTGACTAGAAAAAGATTCCTTTCTTGGATCATTTATTTACACTTTTATTTAACAAACATTTATTGGTGTCTAATATGTACCAAGTATTAAGGGTAGAAGGGTGAACAAGATAGCATGGACACTGCTCTCAAGATTTGTAATCTATGGAGGAGATAGACAAGGAATTATGAAACAATGCGATAGTGCTAGTATAAGGGAAGTGGGCAAAGGGTACCAGGAAAACATGTCAAGGGATATCTAGTCCAGTCTGGAAGAGGGTTTTTGGATATCCATGTTGAGAAACAAAGGCTGAGTAGGAGTCAGTCGGGAGAAAGGAGGAGTATGGGAAAAAGGTCCAGAAAGAGAACAGACAGGCGGAAACCTGGAGGCATGATAGCATGGCCAGGTTAAGGGACTAAAAGAAGCTCAGTAAGGCTAGTGTATAAACTTAAGTGAGAAATGGTGAAGGCCAAGGCTGAAGAGGTTAAGAGCTGAGTCTCATCATAAGAGACCACATAAGCCAATTAAGGATGTGAACTTCATCCTGTGGAATGATGAACAATCTCTATACCAAGATGTTGCCTGGGGTGAACCAGCTTCAATATATGACCTCTGATTTCAGATTTCCTTTCAAATAAATCATTCAGTTCATATAAAACATGAAAAATGAGGGGGAGATGTTTCTAAGGCAATCACACCTCTCCAGAAAGGTGCTTTTTATTAAATATTTATTAGGCTTCTACTATAGGGCTTCTCAGGTGGCTCAGTGGTAAAGAATCTACCTGCAGTGCAGGAGACATGGGTTCCATCCCTGGATTGGGAAGATCCCCTGGAGAAGAAAATGATAACCCACTCCAGTATTCTTGACTGGGAAATCCCACGAACAAAAGAGCCTGGTGGGCTACAGTCCATGGGGTTGCAAAGAGTCAGACACAATTTAGCAACTCAACAACAACAAAAAGGCCTCTACTATGTGCCAGAAACTGATCTAGATGCTGGGAAATACAGCAGAAACAAGACAGAGAGTATCCTGGAACTCATGGAGTTCACCTCTAACAAACACAAACAGTAGTGACAGATATGAGAAGAAACTAAAACAAGGACATGAGACAGAAGGTGGCTGGAATGGATGTTAACCTTGACTAGGAGTAGGGAATCAGGTAAAGCCTCCCTGAAGTGTCATTTTTACTGATATCTAAATGATGATGAAGTAGCCACATAAATCTTTGGACAGAGAACATACCACACAAAGGATTCTTTTGGGTCTTAGTTCCTCCTTTGTTAACAGCAGCTTTGAGAATTAAATTTAATACTGCATGTTAATGCATGTGTGAAGTTAAAATATTATATGGCACATAAGATCAGAAAGCCACTTTCTTGGCTTATCATATCCATGCTATAAATCTTAAAGGTTACAATACAATACCAATTTCCTCAATGACATTCTTATTTTTATTCTAAATGAAAAAAATGCTACTTAAATATTGTCATTTTTCCTGGGTCGATACTGGGGCTAAAAATAACCCTGAGTTGTCATAAAAGGCAAACAGGAAGCCTTAGAAAAGTTAGAAAAGCAAGAGAATTACATGTCCAGATTTTTGTACATTGATACATTTGAATATTATGTACCCAATAAAAGCAATAGTTATGAAAACTTATAAAAGGTGGTAAATTTAAAAATTAAAAAATTATTGTTATCGGGATGTTACTTGTTTCATACTCTGTAAAGTATTTCAATAAAACTTTTTCAAGAAACAGGGACAATGCTCCACTCCAAAGGTAGAAGCATTAGGATAAAGTAATACAAACAGAAAAAACAAAACAAAACCCAGAAAACCTAAGATTTAGTTTACTTTAAACTCCTAGAAGGAACCATTTCTGTCATGTGCCACTTGAAAAAAAGAGCAATTAAAGAAAAATACCTTGCTAGTGGAGAAATGAGGTAGGGGGGAGATCAGTAATTAGGTAGTCTGAGCTTCTACAAACTTTAACAGTTGGCCAATAAATACTTATTGTGCGTTTGCACCTGGAGGGAGTATAGAGCTATTAAAAAGATAGGCTCTCAAAAAAAAATAAGTTCATAAATAAATGAATATATAAATGATATCAGTGCTATGATAAATACTGTGGAGAAAATAAGAGTAACTCAAAAAATTTACATAGTAAAAACAAAAAGCTCACTAGACGAAGTTTCTATACAGCAGGGACAAGTCAGTGTCTTACTTAGGTGTGTATCCTCAACTTTATATAATGCTCCATAAACGTGTTTGTTGACTGTACGAATGAATAAAGATGGCTAATCTGGAAGGAAAGAGGTTCAGAAAAAGATCCGAAAACGTGGCCGCAAACAGAGGACACACACTGTAGGTACTACTGTACAAACGAAAACTGATACTTAGAAGATCTCTGAAGTGACGGCGGCAAATCCCTCCGCATCCGGCTTCAGAATTTGACAACTAACCAACAAAGCCCTCACGTGTCCCCAGGAGCCAGCCGGATTGGCGAGTGGCGCACTCCGCACCCGGAACTACACTCTTCCCTAACCCATGGATCAGCCGCGTAGCCCAGAGCTTCGGGGCGCTCTGGGGACAGCTCCCTTCTCGCGGCACCGTCTCTGAGCCCTAAGGCGACCTGACCTCTCCCCAAAGTGGGAAGGAAACCGGGGGGTGGGGTAGCATGGAGTGAGGAGGAATGGAGTATGAGTGGGAGCGCGGACGGCCGCGGGACTCCTGACAACGAAGGAGCAGGGAGCCGGACGCAGCAAATCCCACCCCCTCTCGGAGCTCTGAGCATGGGAGAGGCAGGCGAGTAGGGCGAGACTCCGAGCCAGCCCGCATCACCAGGCCTGGAGAAGACGACTCGGGAGAGAAGTTGAGGAGTCCTGAGGCGGGACGCGGTGGCTCACCTGGGACGTAATCATGATGCTGGAGTCGATCAGGAAACTCATGGCGAAGAGTAAGGAGGGCTCGTGCCTCCACTTTCCCCGAAGCCACAGCACGCTAGGTCACGGGCCCCCTCACACAGGCGGCAGTCGCCCGGGGGCCTGGACTCGCCAGCCCGACGCCATCAAGCTGCGCCCCAGCCAGCCAATCAGCAACTACGTCCAGCGCTTCCCGCCTCGGACTACGAGTGGGAGGGACGCTGAGGAGCTTAGAGCGGGGGGCGGGGCCAGGGGAGCTTTCTAGGGGCGGGGCTTAATTAGAGGGGGCCTGGTCCAAAGGAGCAAAGTACAGCAACGAGGTCTGAAAATTCAAAAGCAGACGTAAAGCAGGATAGCATTTCCATTTCTGAGGCTAACGGAGGTGGGGCCTGAGATAACATCTTATTTTAATTCTCTTTTATAATGGAGAAAGTGAAGTTGCTCACTCGTGTCCGACTCTGCGACCCCATGGACTGTAGCCTACCAGGCTCCTCCGTCGATGGGATTTTCCAGGCAGGAATACTGGAGTTGGTTGCCATTTCCTTCTCCAGGGCATCTTCCCGACCCAGGGATAGAACCCGGGTTTCACGCATTGTAAGCAGACGCTTTACCATCTGAGCCACCAGGGAAGTCCTTATAATGGTAAAGTTAATAATAATGTATTATACCACAAATCAGGCATTGTGTTCTGCATGTCACAACTTAACTTGAGTCCACAAACAATGGCATAAAGAGGGAAGAATATAAAGGCAGGTTTTAGCACATATAGCTAATCAAGTAAATTTCTGATTCTTTTGCCACACTTGAGAGGCAAATAGATGTATTGGAGCATGCTCAGAGGTGAGTCACCAGATAAGGACAGATGAAAGGAATTGAAGAAAGAAGGCTCAGGAACATTAACAGTTTTATTCATTTGAAAGAATGGATAGAATTGATATGGCCTCAAAAGATATTTGTAGGACAAAGGACTGGGAGTTAAATGAAGATAGATTTAATTCAAAACCAGGAATAATTTTTTAAGAGTCTGAAGATGAGTTATTTTAGGAAATAGTCGCCCCCACCTCCCACCCATGTTGGAATTGCTCAAATGTAGACAGAATCACTACTTCATCCATTCAATACTCATTTTGTGAAGGCTTAATGCACTGCTGTGGGGCTTATCCTTTCCCACCAGGCCTCTACCTAGTCCATGAAGTCCCTATAATCTCTTCCTGAAGCTGGCCCCAGCTGAGGGCCATCACCCATTGTGAGACTGGCTGCATTCAAGGCTTCAGTCAATACCTGGAAGTCAATACCTGCAACTTGGACTAGAGTGTTTAGTCTACTACAGTCTAAATAACTGACTCAGATTTATTACACACAAGGAAAGGTATCTTTCTTTCTTAGACTTGAGTTCTACTCATACTAAGCAGCCCAAACACCTCTCACATGTCCTGTCCCTAAGCCAGAAGGCCAGGGGGCAGTGGAGACGTCCCTACTAAGGGAGAGTCTTAGCCAGAGAACTTTGTGTCTCTGGCTACATCTATCAGGGAAGAAGTAGCATCTGTGTAAGCAGATGATGAGTTAGACTCTCACCTATCAAAGCTGTGTGATACTGCAGAATGCTGCGTTAGCCTACCAAGGCAAACAGTTTACCTTAGTGGCTTACTGGGATGCATGGTGGGGATCAGGGTCTCAGTGAAGCTGGCAGCAGAAAAAGGTATACAATCCCACTGGCCCCAGGGCTGTATAAAGCTTTGAAAGACACCATTCAAAATTCTATGACCAAAAAAAAAAATTCTATGACAAACCTTGACAGCATATAAAAAAGAGACATTACTTTGCCAACAGGTTCATCTAGTCAAAGCTATGGTTTTTCCAGTAGTCAGGTATGGATGTGAGAGTTAGACCATAAAGAAGGCTGAGTGCCAAAGAATTGATGGTTTCGAACTGTGGTGTTGGGGAAGACTCTTGAGAGTCCCTTGGAGTGCAAGGAGATCAAACTAGCCAATCCTAAAGGAAATCAACCCTGAATATTCACTGAAAGGACTGATGCTGAAGCTCCAATACTTCCACCATCTGATACAAAGAGCTGACTCACTGGAAAAGACCCTGATGATGGGAAAGATTGAAGGCAGGAGGAGAAAGGGATGACAGAGGATGAGATGATTGGATGGCATCACCAACTCAATGGACATCAGTTTGAGCAAGCTCCGGGAGATGATGAAGGACAGGGAAGCCTGGTGTGCTGCAGTCCATGGGGTCACAAAGAGTTAGACATGACTGAGTGACTGAAGAACAACAACAGTTCAAAATTCTCCCTACTGTTAACACCTGTGTCCAGGTCAAGGACTGATGCGCTGACCCAAGGAACTGCTACCCCCTGCTTTTGATTTTAGAATGTCTCCAAAACTCTTCACCCTAGATTAACGTCCATATGACTGAACTTCTTTACAAGTTGGTCACCACTCTTCCAAACCTTCTTGGCTCTGCGTATTAGTTCTTTCTTCTTATCTAGCCTCATTTTGGATGTGTTGACCCTGGTCTTGACCTAGTGTGCACTTAGGACACCTTGTCCAGGGCTTTGATTGGTTCAGATGAGTCAGAGGTAGTTCTGAATCAAATGGCATCTTTACCTCAAATCTTGCTACTCTCTAGTTTATTCTCTGCACAGTAGATGGAGCAATCTAAGAGAATGTGACTAAAAATGCAATGAAAGTGATGGTATGTGATTTCCAAACCTATGTCATAAAAGACATTGAAGCATCTGCCTTGATCTCTTGATTCACTTGTTCTAGGGGAAGCCAGCCACTGGTTCTTGAGGACACTCAAGCAGACCCATGGAGTGGCCCAAGTAGAGATACTAACTTGCCAGCATCAACCTTCTGGTTACATAACCATGTGAATGGGTGGATCTTACCTCTTCAGTCAAGCCTCAGATGACTGCAGACTTTGTCAATATCTGACTGCAACCCCATGAGAGACCCCAAGCTGCTCCAGAGCTCCTGACCCTCAGAAGCTATAAGAGATAATACGTATTGTTGTTTCAGGGGCTCCCAGGTGGCACTAGTGGTAAAGAACCCACCTGCCAATGCAGGAGATGTAAGAGATATGGGCTTGATCCCTGATTGGGAAAATCCCCCTGAAGAAGGGCATGGCAAACCAGTCTAGCATTCTTGCTTGGAAAATCCTATAGCCAGAGGAGCCTGATGGCCTACAGTCCATGGGGGTGCAAAGAGTTGGACACAACGGAAGCAACTTAGCTGGCACACATGCACATTGTTATTTCAAGCCATGAAGATTTGGAGTGATATGTTACAAAGCAATAAATAACTAATACATGAATCATCACAGATTACATTTTTTACTAAATATTTGCATGGCATAGTCTGAGGCTCTATCTTTGTAACCTTTTTTAAAAAAAGGTATTTATTTATTGGTTTGCATGTGCCAGGTCTTAGCTGCAGTATATGGGTGTGGCATGTAGACCCCATGCACTGGGAGCTCGGACTCTTAACCATGGGGCTCCTAGGGAAGCCCTCAATCATTGTAACCTTTGATTTTCATCTCTTCACCAACTCACTGTTCAACTGTTAAGCTAAAGCCGCATATCTTAGGGTTTTGTTATAGCCACATCTAACCTCAATTTCTATAAAGATACTGCTAGGCCTGATAACAGATAAACTTGAGATCTCAGAGAATTAATACAACACAAGTTTATTTTTTGTTTCATGTGAAATCCAAAAGTCCAGTTCATGGGAATTGGAAGAGGCGTTGGTGGGGGTGGTAGTGATCCTCTAGTCTACAGTCATTTGAAGACTGACTGCCAGTGTCGACATATGGCTTCCAGGGCTGCTCTGGGTGATGACAGGCAGCAATTCGTCCAAAAATTTCTCTTTTTTCCTGTAATTATGATAAAACAAGCCCAGTGCCTTAAACCTGGAACTCCTGGGACCTTCAGGGAAGCTCTTCCTCAGATACATTCCTTATAGTGTCAGCCTGCTCTGGTGCTGGGGCATACTTAGCCAATTATTTCTTTTCTGCACTGGGAGTAGTTTTCATTCATTCCCCAGACATTACTATGTTCCAGTCACTGTGCTAAGTACTGAATATTCAGAGATTATATAATAATATGAAGTCTCTTTTTGAAATCACTTTTGATAAGTGCTATGATCAAGTGTACACAAATATTAAGGGATCAAAAAGGAGGGAGCAACTCACTTTGTATAGGGAATTTTGTGAAATTTCATAAAGAAGGAGACAATTGAGTTGAATCTTGAAGAAAGAGAAGGAGCTGATTACAGAAAAAAGGCTGGACAGGGCAGAGTCCTGAAATACCATGAAATTCCTTCATCGCTAAATGTCAGGCTTGTCCATATTGGGGACCAGCCAATGGCTCTGTAAGACTGGGGCATATTCATGAGTGGATGGATGTGGGAGATGAGGCTAGAAATGAGGCTAGAAATGTGGGACATGAGGTTAGGATGTGGTGTACCTACCAGTCGGAAGCTTGTAAGCAACAGGAATAATTTTGGCAACATTAAATTAAAAAAAAAAAGGAACTCTGGAGTGGCTTAGCAAACTGAAGAAAGGTTGGTGAACCATGATCTGTAAAAAGAGGAACTAAGCATTTGCCAGAAATCTAGGTAAGCAGGAACTAATGGTGAATCTCTTCAAGGGGTTCTGTCAAGATAAATGAATCCCAACTACTGTTTCAGTCTCTGTTACTACACTCAAGTTTCACAATCCAGGGAGAGAGTGTATGGTTGGCCCATTTGAGTTCAAACAAACAAAACTTGACCCATGATGGATTGAGGGCTCTCCTTTGGGGTCGGTCTGCCCTCCTGCCTCAAGGGTGTACTATCTTTTGTTTGCTGACTAAAACTCTGAGCTGTAACCAGAAAAAAAAATGTTACTAAGAATCCCACCAAGATTATGTCCAATTGAGGTAGCATAAATCCCAATAGAGATGTTATTAGAGCAGAAGGGAGAATAGATTCTGGGCAAGTAAAAACAGAGGTCTTCTCTAAGTGGGTTGTAGTAACTTA